GTTGAAGAGTCAGATTGAGTTTGGTTAGTTTGGGTGAGGCTCGGCGAAGAGACTCTTTTGTAAGCGACAGAGAGATCTGCCCAGAATTCCCAAAGGGTGAGGGCGCATATGAAACAGACGAAAACGCCAAGAATTTTGACGAGACGATGGCGCGCGGTTACGACGCTGATCCATTTCCCGCTTTTGGAGGCGTCATCGCGCCAAGATCGAAGCATCACGATGGTTTGATAGACTGACTTCGACTCTGACTCAGATTAGATGGTGTTGATTTTTGGAACACGAATTGAAGTTTTGACTGATATCAGTGAAAAAAGCGAGTGAATATAGGCTCGAGACCAGCGCGATATCGTTATTCGCTGCAGTCAATTATCGAGTATCGTCGAAATTGGAGCTTGTCGAATTTTCTAGTGGCGTTGAACACTTGTCGTTGCGCATGGTCATCTCGTGTCAAAATTCCCCCTCTCTTGCGTCGGATGATGTTCGAGAATGGCCCAGAAGTAGGTTCGTAAGGTTTGAGACGTATTTTGAGGGTTTGTCGCAAACTCTGTAGGAGATCAAACGGTCATAGAGCAACAGCTCAAGAGAATCATGTGATATGAACCATGGTATTTACTTCAAAACAAAACAGATGAAAAACGATGAACAGAAGGTAGATGAGAGACGTGAAACGCTGCTGACAGTCAGACCAGATCAAAATAAAATGAAAGGAGCTTTTGACTGTGCAGGCAGAGATCGTAAGCTTTCACGTGATTTATACGGAGCAGAACAGAGCAGAGCATTACGCAATGCTGCCGCGTTTCCCGATACGTGCCACAATCCGATGTCTCGCAGTGGGATAGGGACAGGGACACCCGACTGCTTGTTGTTAGTGTCACATTCTATTTATATGCATATATTTTGATTGTCTCTATTTATTGCCCTCTATTCGTATCTAAAGCTTTATTAAACATTGTCTCGCTCTTGAAGCGAGAGACACCTTATTCTGACGTCATGATGTAACTCGCTCGTAAAACGAAACAAAACATAACATAAAACCCCGCACTCAATTAACTTTTCAGACAATTGGGGTCGTCTCCTCGTCGATATTGATCCCAAAACCCTGAGCTGCCATGGAGTAACTCTGATGAACAGCGTCACTAGCATAGACCCTCATCTCCTTCTCATAAGCTGCTGTGACGCCTGGACTGTACCCGCCAGCTTCACGCAGCAATCGTCCAAGCAGCGCTGAATCACGAACAGCTGTGTTGGCGCCAATTCCGCCCGCAGGAGTCATCGAGTGAGCTGCATCGCCAATGACAGTCACACGAGGCTCATTCTTCCACTCAGGTACACCCGACGGGGTCGAGCAGGTGATTTTCCAGAACGCAGCTTCACTCTCGTCCATGTTGTCAATTAAAGATTTGAACTTTGGGTCCCAGTCTTTGGCAATTGACTTTGCAATGTCGGCAGCGACTTTTCCGACAATCGCGTAGTTGTCGTTCGGCGCGCGAATAACACCTGGTGCTCCGCCCATGGTCCAGCCAAAGCTCACGTCTGGGTTGTTCATATCTCCGGAGCGAACGTTTGTTATGAGAAAGGCGTGACCGTCGGGACGTGTATCGTCTCGTAGTCGGAAGACTCCCTCGCCAAGCTGCTTGAAGGCTGTTGTTGGTGCTTGGCCGTGAATACCCCTCGCGCCAGTGTCGTACACTTTCAACTTCCCGCCTGAGACTTGTCTTGCAACTTTGGAGTAGATGCCTTCACCGCCGACGAGCATAGATCCTTCGATGGACTTTGTTCCGTCGGAGAAGATGGCGCGAACACCATCGTCGGTTAATTCGTAGCCTGTGACATTCTTGCCCCATTCAATATAGTCTTCGCAACCCTCTGCGAAAATTCTTCTCATATCACCTCTAGCAATACCGACGATCTTTCCATCTCGTGATGAGAGAATCTCTGCGACGACGTGTTCAGTTTGCTCTCCAGTGACTGCATCGAATGATCGGAATCCACCACCGCCCGTCTTTCCGCAGGCTTCCCAGAAATGCTGCCACGTCTTCTCATCGAGAACAGACTGAATAGCATCTAGACCCTCCGCCGAGAGACGGAGCCTGTACCCTTGAGCGCGAAAGATAAAAGATGCATCGCGCTCAAAAATCTTGAACGGGATCTTGGAAAGCTTGAGAGATTGCGCCAGTAGCAATGAAGCGAGGCCAGAGCCAGAGATGAGGATGGGTTTCGTGACTGACATGTTGTGCTGTTGATGATCTGAGGTTCACAGCGGGCTTGGCTACCTTGGAATGCAAAGTCTAGATAAATACCCGCTCGAGTGCCATCGTTCTTGGCTGCGGGCGTCTGTGGCATCCATATCTGGGGCTGACAAACATCGTGGAGTCTACCGCGCGCTATGGTGCAATTCTGAGATCCGAGATAAGGTTGAAGGCCTCAACAAGAAGACGGCAGATGCACTTCGGAACATTCGCTGTGTCCGGAACTTCCGAAGGGCGGGCCTGGTGAAACCCTGGACATTTGTAAGCTGACATATTCATTGTTATTCCCGTCAATAATCATCAGTCAGCCTGAATCATCGGTCAATCCAACGTTGTGAAAGGCAATTTGTGTATCAGTTGAGTTACTGAGGTATCTTATCTGGCGTTGCAATGTTGTGATTATTGACTGCGTTTGGAAATGAGCTGTGCAACTTTGTCCGCCTGCTGAATAACCTCTACCATCTCACCCCCGCTTAGCACTGGGCTGATAGAGCAGATTCTCAGGACGACCCTCCCTCGTAGCTTCGTAGTCAGAATCAATCCAATGTTGTTTTCAACTAAACGCTTTGAGATCGCAGTGTTCAATTCATCCAACTCCTCCTCAGTCTTTTCCGCTGGTGCATATCGGAATGTCACAATCGCCATACTCGCTCGACTTGTGAGTTCCCAATCCGACAGCTTCAAAATCTCTGCTTCAGCAATTTCTGCCAGATGAAACCCGTGATCGATCATCTTCCCAAATCTTTCCACGCCGAGGACTCGTAGGGTGAACCATAGTTTCAGCGCTCTTGAAGGACGTGTTAGTTCCATGCCAAGATTCCAAAAATTGGGCATCTCTTCGTCATCGAGCGCGTCGCGAAGATAGTCGCCATCGTTGATGAATACTTTAATCAAGTTGACCTTGTTCCTCACAAGGATGAGACTACAGCTGTATGTCTGGAACAACCATTTGTGTGCATCCCAAGAGATACTGTCCGCCAGTCCAAGACCGTTGGTGACGGAGCTTCGAGTTGCAGCTAGAGAAGCGGACGCGCCGTATGCACCATCTATATGAAGCCAGATCTTCTCTTCGTCGCGTACCCGGGCGAGTGCCTCCAATGGATCGATGCTTCCAGTGTTTGTTGTCCCGCATGTTGCGACGATTACAAAAGGCTTCAGGCCTGCTTCCCGGTCTGTTTTGATGGCATCTCTCAAGGCGCTCACATTCATTTGAAAGCTCCCATTCGTCGGAACAACACGTATTTGACTTCTTCTGATACCAGTGATGCGAAGGGCCTTCTTGACAGAATGATGTGTCTGATCAGAGAGATATGCCACGCCCAGGTGTTCAGTATCGGGCTCCAATACACATTCTCTTGCAAGCACCATGCCGCTCATGTTTGCCATAGAGCCCCCTGAGACAAAGATACCTCCAGAGGTACCTGGAAGTCCAACTTTGGCAGATAGCCATTGCAGCAGCGTCTGCTCAACAACAACTACACCAGACCCCTGCAGTCTCGATCCAGCAAAAGAGTTGAAAGCGCTCGACAGACAATCGCCGATCCAAGAAAGTGGCGAGACAGGCGCTGGAATAAAGCAGAAAGCCTTGGGGTGGTTCATTCGCATTCTATAGTCAGAGATGGTGAACACATCCTCAATGGCTGCCTCCACAGAGTGAGCAACGCCAGGAGTGCTGATTGCTTTGAGCTGAGAGACATCGGTTCCTTGGGCTACTCGCAATAGAGGGTCTTCCCTAACCTTTTGGGTGGCCTGGAAGATCCGATCGAAGGCGGCCTGGAATGTAGAGCTTAGAGAGTCTAGTTCTGCGCCTTGATCTGGGGTTTCAAAAGAGTTCATCGTATTGCTGTGAGGATCGTGACGAGTAGTGCAACTTTTGGGAAGTCGGACTCTTATATGCTAACTACCTAGTACGTTTAGAGCGATGCGGCGGGCATTACGTGAAAGACATATGAAGGGCGCAAAAATGACTGAGTTGAACATGGCTTCCCCACCTTTCGTCATTGACGCCACGGCGAAGCATCAGTAGCCAAGCCTCCAGACATTCTCGTGCTTTATCTCCGAAGACGCCGCTTTTAGAGCCGTAGTTCAGGCACGGCGATCAGTAGCAATGCTAATATGGCACATCATAATCCTGGCTGCCAAGTGAGCGTCAAGTCAGACTATTATATCTTCATCCTACAGGCGAGCCAATATTCATATTAGATTGTACCAATGCCATAATTGCCATTACACGGCGATAATCACTTTATCGCCGGCCATTGATCGGATACAAAAAGTGCGCCCTGCATGATGGAAACACTATAGCGGAGGCGGTTGGCATTGTAACCTTCATCTACTAAGCACTAATATCAGAGGAACCCTCAGTCGCCATTCTGACAACCATCTCGTTGAACAGATCCCACCACTCAATATTCGGAACGGAGCGTACTCGCGGATCAGGCATCACCAATATGATATTAAGCTTTCCGGAAAATGTCCAAGCCCATGTTTGAGCTGAGTATGAATCAGTAAGTTTTGCTGTAAGAAAGACGTTGAGAGAAGCAGAAACGCTGCACTTACGTCCAAACAAGTTGCTAACTCGTGAATAAAACGAAAAGTCGTCAATGTTTAGCGCAGGCCTATCATTTGGGTCTCGAGATCCGTATGACCCTGGGAGATGATGGCCGTCCAAGAGACCTGCTGATGACAGAGGAGTAAACATGCCAGGTGATCTATCGATATCAATGCAAGAAGAAATGATTAGCAAAGAGCTTAATGATGGCGCAATGCCGAGGAGACTTGCGAAGGCAGTAGCCCGGCTTTCATCGCTTCCATTGCATGCGCAACACCACCAAACGCAGCTGGGCCTTGAGTCCAATCCACATGCTCACTCAAGTTGCTATTGACCGCCTCATCAGTTGCTTGACCAACATTTCGGGCAACTCCCCAAACAATCTTTCTCCAGGTCTCGTCCCCAATGGAAGCATCCTTGTTGCTGAGATATGGACCCACGTCAAAGGGAGACACAAGGAAAGTAGTCGCCATAACGGGCCCGATGTAGGCTGCCTCTTGACATATCTCGCTCAATCTAGTCTTCGTAGAAGCCGAATGACCCTGACTGCCACCGAAAGATGTCTGCCGCAGCCTGTTGCTCACACAGATAGGTGCCGCCGTCGTTCGGGTCGCATCTTCAGGAGGAAAGGTTTTGAGGAGTGCAAGCGCTTGCAAGGCCGTCAATAGTGCCGTTACAGTAACTCCATGCTCCTTGCAGAGCTTAAAGACTTTTTGCGTCGTCTCTTGCGACAACATCTGCCTTCTCACGGAATAGTCGGTGTCAGGTCGGTCTTTTGCTGGTTCTTGCGAGATAGGGCAGAGAGTGATATTGGCGAGATTGGCGCCAAGAAGCTGCGCTGCCTTTTCTTGAGACTCAAGAGCCAATGGAGTATCTCCAATAGGATCACGGAGAAAATCGAGATAGCAAGGGTGTAGCAAAGAGTGAGATGCATCTTTGTATGAAAGTGATAGTACTGTGGTGGTACTCAGGCCGTCTGCGAGGTTGCTGAGAAGGTTGTTGAGAATAGCCGCGCCGCTCCAGAAATCGTTTAATGCATGGTTGCAGCGGATTGCAAGGGCGAAGTTTCCCGCCTCAGAGGACGAAAAAACAAGCGACACGTGGATCAAATGGTCTCCGAGCTCAAGGCTGATGCGTTTCTCTGGGGTCGAGTAGAAGTCGTCCGTGAGTAGCTTCAAGCCCTCTTGAGCTGACTTATCGGTATGTAGAAACGGTAGTCCTCTGCTTAATCCTCTCAGAGAAGTCGCTGTCTGATGTGAGAGGACGGTAGACGAAGTCTCGAGACTTTGCAACCGCCGACTCTTCCTGGCCACGCTCAATGACTGCCAGGAGGGAAGGCTTCTCAAGACAAACGCGCGATACTGCTTCTTTGAACCAAGCCTCAACATGGGCTTCGCTGTTCATCTGGGACGCGTAAGACGGAGAAATTGTGAAGATGACAGCGCCCATCCATTCTGTCCAGCCGTCGTCCTCGAGCCACTGGTCGAACATGCGCTCGGGTCCGATGAGCGGCCGGCTCCAGAGGCCGTCACTTCGTTTCTTCCATGGAGAGACCTTGGGCATTATGAATTATTCTTCAAAGTTGCAGAAATGAGCAATGTGATGTTGGAGTCAACATTATCAACCCCGCTCATTGCTATAGTCTTCGCTGCGCCATGATCGTATCGTCGCTTATGTTGTCGAATTAGTGCCAAGAGGAGGCTAAATTCTCACGACGTGCCTCAGTACCCCGCTAGAGAATATCGTGCTATTTGCTATTCCGTAGCAGTATAGGATCCTTTCGTTTCGTTGAGGGTGCTTCCCGTCAATGATGAGCTAAGGGACGAACCGCATCGCGGTATTCTCACCTTGTGGATATAGCCAGCTTGCTCCAGTGGGGAAGCAGATGCTAAATAGACGTTGTCACTGAACGCCAATGAGCACAGCAACTAGTGATAGCGAAGAGACCAATAGTTCAGGATAGTGTAGCAGAATGCAATGCTATGTAGAATACGATTTCAGATATAAGTTATAACGAAACATCGCTAACTTCTCCTTGTAGGGGACATCTTCGTCGGAAATGCCCCGGTCTTGTTTTCCGCTGCTTCGGTTCGGTAGCCGGAATGCGGGCTTTTCCGTATGAACCGAACGAACCTCGAGTCTATGCTCAATATTCATGACATTATTTTGCGCTCTTCGTTTCAGATCGATATTTATAGAAGCCCAATAGTTAGTAACTATTTGTGAAACATTTTCGAGTTCACAGTCTCTTGTTGGACCCCATCAGGCTTCCCCACAGTCTCGTCGCATCCGCGCTGGCTTCACTTCTGTGCGACAACGATTGAGGGATTAACTAGACCAACAGCTTGTTGTTTCCACGGAAAAGCCTCACTACCCTGCATCATCAGTGACCCTCGTTCATGCCGATCAATTGGCGCGATCCCGAATACATCTTTTGAAGAGGCAGAACAAGGATACAGAAATGTCGACAAAGCGGGGTACATCGACAATAAAGAGTCAAGATGACTCTGTACGTCAAGGAACGAGCAAAACACAGAAAAGCTCAATTCTGACTCCTACCACTATGGCCATTGGAGTACTTGCCATTGGTGTCTTGGTTCCCTATGGTCTCGGCCTCTTCGGCGAGGCTCAGGCAAAGCCTACCGCCATTGACCCTGCCAAGCTACCAGCTACGGCCCAGATAATCGACCAGAAGAGCTTCAATGTTCTGAAGCATGTCCCTCCGCCAAAAGAAGCCAATGCTACAACTGTGAGTTAGCACAAACATGCCTATGACCTATGCTGACATAGTGATAGAGGTTCCTTTGGCCCGGAGTTACCTATGAATCCCTTACTGAACGACCATTTCATGTTTATGATGCAGAGTTCCTCGATATAATTGGAAGTAATCCAACATTGACTCTTCTCGCTACTTCAGAGAAGGATCCCATCTTCCACGAAGCTGTTGTATGGTTCGTGGACTCCACGGCCTATCCTTCGTTCAACAACTAACACACAATTATGTAGGAACCCTCCGACTGAAGAAGTTTTCTTTGTGCAGAATGCAGGCGATCCAGACGCTGGAACAGGACTTACAAAGTCATCTGTCATCCAAAAGATTTCTTTGGCTGAAGCTGAAGCTCTTAAGAATGGATCGCACACGGAGAGCCAAGTCAAGATTACCGTCATAGGCTCCGACCCGCAAGTCATCAACCCCAATGGTAAGTATAGTTCCCATATATCAGGGAGCATAAAGAAGCTCACAGTTCGCAGGTGGAACGAACTATAAGGGTCAGATCATCTTCGCAGGTGAAGGTCAAGGCGAGAAAATAGCCTCCGCTCTGTATCTGATGAACCCCGAAGCGCCATATAATACAACAAGTAAGGACTCAATCGCATCTTTGCGCCGTGGAAAGTTGGAAACTGCTAACTGGCTCATTATAGCACTTGTGAATAACTTCTTTGGCAGGCAATTCAACTCCCTTAACGATGTCTCTGTCAATCCACGCAACGGTGATATCTACTTCACAGATACCATGTACGGCTACTGGCAGTACTTCCGTCCTGTGCCTGGACTGCAAAACCAAGTCTATCGCTTCGACCCAGATACTGGAGCGTTGACCGTTGTTGCGGATGGCTTCGTCGCTCCAAATGGTGAGGCAACCAAAATTGCAACAATATCCAGGTGAGGTGGTTACTGACGATTAGGGAACAACAGGACTCACTTTCTCACCCGATGGACTCCACGCATATGTTACAGATACTGGCATAAGCAATGGACTATTCGGACAGAATTACACTCGTCCCGCCTCTATGTAAGCCTTGACTTTGGTAGTAACAATCAGACGTCTGATAGTAATAATAGTTACCGATTCGATGTACAAAAGGATGGTACATGGGACAACCGTAAGACGTTTGCCTTCACAGCAGCTCGTCTACCAGATGGTAAGCATGATTGGCTATTTCTTACTGCCAGTAGATCTGGTTCTAAAAAGCGAGAAGTATGCTAATTGTTTTTGACTCCAGGAATTCATTGTGATTCTAAAGGCAACGTCTACGCGGGCTGCGGCGATGGTGTGCATGTCTGGAACCGGTCCGGAAAGCTCATTGGTAAGATATATACAGGAACCAATGCCGCCAACTTCCAATTCACCGGCCAAGGACGCATGGTTATCATGGGGAGGACAAAACTGTTCTATGCTACTCTTGCCGCTTCTGGAGCACCATTAAGTTGAGCCGTTGACATGATCTGATGACTTGGCACATGATATTGATTTCAAATTGAAAGCTCAATTACAGGCCTACTGTTGCTTGGCCCTTTTACGAGGTTCGGAGACACAATATTGCATGCGCAAAATAACAGGTTTCTGCGTCTTGAGGGAGTTGCATAGGCATGGAATAGTGACTGAATTACCAGAACAAGCTAGGAAGTTGTCAATATCAAGCTTTAAGCTTAGTGATCGATCGCTATGGGTTACATCGTGATCAGGACACAGGGCGGCACAGCTCTCGGGCCCGAGGATCCATCCAGGTATCTGCCGATCCCTCACAAGGCTGTGCAGCTGATGCCGATCAATCAGGGGATGCTGACCGAAGCATCTCTGCCTAGTACGACAAAAGAATCCTACGATGATCATGGCCTTGATTGTGACGTCGGACAATAAATCTGTTTGCCGTCGACCTGGTTTTATGCATGAATGCTAGAATCCTTCGTGTTTAGTCCAAATTGGAACGGGATGAGAAGGTCCCTTGCAGAGTGACATTCAATGCTTCTGATCAGCGAGGGAGTGGAGCTGAAACAGAACACGACTTGCCTCTTTTGACTATGCCGCTTACTTCTGACGTCAGATCAGTTTGTAAGGTAGAATTGACTGTTCGTACAGCAGACCACTAACACCAAGTAGGTAGGTGGGTTTGTGCAGCAAAGAAGATACCAACCAAAAGAACAGCAGCATCAAGACATGAAACTTATAGAAAAGTATGGAAAACGCATTAATTTTATGTTACTAAGACTTTCTACCCAATGAACTTATCAAGAATAGCTCTCGCAAAGAATTGTGCTGTAGCAAAACTGCCCCCAATCCAACGCAGCCTCACAAACGTCCCGTCGACCCACGTGCCTGTCGATCAGTCTTGGCTTCAACCCGCCTCAGCATAGAAAACCCGACTCTGCAGCAGAGAATGGGCCATGATGTAATTGACTCTTCAGCCCGTTTCAACCAGGCAGTGCTGAAACAATCCTTCCAGAAAGAAGTACTGCGAATAGGCTGGAAGGATGCACTTTGACTTGGCCTATCATAGCACACAAATCGTATCCGCTAGCACTGCCGGCAGGTGATCTTGAACAACATACCCGACAACTGCATAACTTTCTTGCGATGTCGCCGCTGACAAGATTATGATCAACATGGATGCAACGCTCTTGCCCAAGATGTGCAGAGCTGAACCTCCGTGGACGAGCCGCGATCAAGGTTGTGAGTCGTAAAATGTTGATCTACTCAAGACGAGAACCTGTCCCCAAGAGCTTCAGACAAGTATAAGTACGACACCATCTACCCTCACTTTAACTCCGTCTCACCAACATCTTCACCTCCCATCACAACACCAAACCAACAGCCAGCATGCAGAATAAGTTCATCACCGCCGCCACCCTCCTGAGTGCCATGGCCTCAGTCCAGGCATCTCCCGTTTCCATCTCCAAGAGAGACGTTCTCACAGCCCTTCCTGGAGGCGCTTCTGACATTGAGAATAAGTTCCAGCCTGCTCTTGACTTCGACAGCGACGGTTGCTACCAGACCGCCGCCATCGATCCCTCTGGCAACTTGAATCCTGGTCATGGTGCCACTGGTACTCCCCAGGGAGACTGTCGTGATCCTCACCAGCTTGATAACAGCAACACCTACTCTCGCAAGCGCTGCAACAATGGCTTCTGTGCCATTATGTAAGTCTTGTTCCTCAACTTCAAAACGAGGGCTTCTTCATTCCAGCATACATGCTAACATTGTAACTCAAAGGTATGAGACCTACTATGAGAAAGACCAAGCCGTTGGTGGTAGCTTTCTCGGAGGTCACCGCCACGACTGGGAGAACATCGTTGTCTTCACCCAAGGCGACAATGTCGTCCGCGTAGCTCCGTCGTGCCACGGCAAATACGACGGCGCAAGCAACGAGTTTCCCAGCGACGGAAGCACCCCTCTTCTCGTCTATCACAAGGACGGTGCTGGAACTCACTGCTACCGCTTCGCCAACGACGACGACCAAGCCAACCCCGAGAACCCCACAGGTTCTTTCTTCAAGGCCCCTCTTGTTGGTTGGGATAACTGGCCTGATGTTGGCCTGCGAGACAAGATGCTCCAGAACTGGAGTGGAGGTGTTGGTCCCAAGCTGGATGATGAGTTTGGTGACTCGCTCAAGGCGGCTGCTGGTGATGGTGTTCAGGGCTTCGATCCTTACAAGGACGAGTAAAGATGAAGAGGTCTAAGGACATATCACTATTTTGTATCACTATTGAACATGATTGACTTTGATGAATGCATCACTTCAGAGCTTTCCCTTGGAGCATCATCCCGTGTTCTGTTACGTTCTGGCCGTGCTTTGCCCTGTATTGTATATTTCGAATTTCAGAGCCCTTTGACGTTGCTTTAGTATCATGATATGAGCACAAGCAAAGCTACCTGATCTCAATAATCCGTTGCAAGACCTCATCCATCTTCACATACGTACACTTGCCCCACTTCAGGTCCTTAAATCTATGCAGCCCATCATGCCTTGCGCACTCTTCCGGCATATGCTTATCAAACTCCTCAATCCCCTCCCAGAACCTCGTCACATCCTCAGGATAAGTGATCACGAAGGCTCCAAGTCGTATATACCATATGTGCCCGTTCTCACCCCGCCTTTCGTCTAGAGCGAGGCAGTATACACAGTTGGAGAAGTCCGTCCTGGCAAAGATGGGGACCGCAATGGGCGACTTGCAGTCTATAGCCTCTTGACTAAACTCCACATCCCAGTAGTTTCTACTTTGAACATCAATCGCTTCCTCGCCCCGGCCTCTCTCATGGGTCGCGGCTCTGAAGTTCATAAGTTTCATGCCGCTCACAGGCCCCAACTCCACGATAGTTAGGTAAGAACACCGCAGACGGAGAAATGAACCGGGTGAGGAGCAGTACCTCATGCTACTCAAATGCGTTGCTGGATTTAGCTTCTTGTCAGGGATGATATTTGTGTCGATGACTTTGGTGAAGTAGATGTTACCCGACCTTAACTCCTGTGGTACGATGGCAGCATCCTTGACAGAACACCACGACCATGTTGGAGCAATGTACTCGTCGTAGCGCTTCCCAGGCACTGAAAGTGCGTTGCCATCATATGTAAATGGATGATCGCGAGACATCGCTCGCCATACCAGTTGTCTCTCGGCATACGGCCGCCATAGCCCAGCGAGAAAAAGCCCTGTCGAGTTATGACACAATGAATCCGCTTCAGTCTGGCGATCTTCGACTTCATCTTCTCGCTCCGTCATCTGCTGAAAGACGGGGTACAGCACATCAATAAGGCCTGATAGCGCAACGAGCCTGTCGGTTGCAATCGTGAGCTGTCCCTGAGAGTAAGCTTGAACTATTTGATTCCAGTTCCGAAAAGCAGTCTCAGGACTAAGGCTAGACAGATTTCCATTTCGTGCGTCGAGAACAAACCTTTTCAGTGAAGTAAGTACGGCGGTATCCTCTCTTATTGTCGGGTCACCATATGGCAGTCTTTCGCACACTGCGTTTGAGCAACACTCGAGAGCAACTTGCTCAAGTCCCAGATGCAGTACTCTTGGCGGTAAAACACGCTCCTGGAGAGCACAGGCTCCTCGATTTAACTTTGAGTTTGAGATGCGTTCCCACCAGTTGTGATACTCGGATATGCAATAATCGCGAGGCGATTCATGGCCCCGTTCACGACGTATATATACCGGGTACCATGGATGGAGGGCTCGCTTGCTGGAAGGACAGAAGAGCCCTTGGTCCGCCGCATCATCTCCGTCCGCCGAGAGATTGAGACATGAGTTCCCGTAGATGGAAGACATACAACCAACCTCATGTTCCCGATCTGTAGGGTCGTCTTGGATTATACAGAGCGCGTCGATCCAGAGGTATTCGTGACTCAGCCTTTTGGTGGTGTTACATGCATCGATGAAGACGCGGGAGAGTTCATCAACAGGAATTGAGGACTTGAAGGCTTCGATGTTGCTGCGGGTAAGTTGAAGAGTGTTTCCTACACCCAGACAATGGCTCAGGGTCAGATACTCAGTGCCGTCGGGTAATTCCTGACCCTCAACTAGGCGGACTTGAAGCGCAGCCTGTGTATTACAGACGTAGAGCAGCCGGGTTGGCTTCCAGGTGGGTGTCCTCTGAAGTTTGCAATCTTTATGATATTTCTGGCATCGACCAAGCCATTCTCTGACCGACTTCCAAGTAGCGTCGGCCTGATCAGATCTAGGCAACGGCTTCAAGTTAATGTCTTTCGCACCTATACTCACCAGTCAGCTCCGGTGTATCTCACATTGGCCGTCCAAGCCTAAACCAACCATCGGTACTGATCGCATCGAGAGTCGCCCACGCATATCCCATGTGCGGCCATACAATGTATGGCAGCACCGAAGAACTCATAAATACAAGCGCCACGTCGCTAATGTCTTGCTCTAATGGATGCTGTCTCAGTAAGGCAACTTGGCCTCGAACTTTCAGGTTTTGACGTGAATGATCTAGGGCCCTAAGCCACATTGCACATAGTTGACAGTAGCGCGAGGATTCAGTGAGATCTGAGAGAGCTCTGGTGCGGATTAGCGGAATGAGCGCATCATCGTGACAAAATTCACAGAGAGTTTCATCTTGCACCGAGAGAAATTTCGTTGGCGGCGCAAGAGCACTGGACGGAGAGGTTAGAGTTGTCATATTCGTCAACGATTGTGAATTGTTGTGTAGCCTTCGCGAGATGAGAAATTGAGCGCTGAAAGGACGAGTGAGGCGAAGCTCGGCAACTTATAGCCGGCCGGCCTGCCCTCACAACGTACGTCAGGCGCAAACCCTCTTGACCCATGGAAGCTTTTGTCACGGGTGCAACATTCTTGCGAACGCCTGAAGCTGCTACCACCGATCATTGCGAACACCCATGAATGTGAACGTGTCGGGGCCTTGTGAATCCTGCGGAGTCGCCCAGAAGACAAGATCTCGGCTTGCTTTGAGGATCAAATTATCCTTGTCGATAAATTGCAGACTCATAAAGGATCTACCATCGGGGGTGTAGATTAATGGGACAAGTTCAAGGTCGACACTAGGATTGAGCCAGAACCGACCGGTGAGATTGTCGCGGTGCGCCTCACCTCTATCTTGGTATTCGAACCTGATGTATCTTCTCTGATAGCCGTGCGGACTGGGATCATAAAAACGGTCAAAGTAGTCCATAAAGTGGAGATCGAACTGGCTGTCGATAGGACCTAGTCGAGAAGATTCGCTTCTGGACATGGAAATCTCCAAGACTTCATATACTACGCGCACTTGGTCAGTCTTGTTTTTCTCTTCCTCTCCTGCATCTTCCCTGCGCTTTCTGATAGTGTCTTTGCGCTGGCAAAGCTCTCTTTTGCGTTCCTCCCTCTTCCCTCTCAGAAGTTGGTATTCTGCTGCCCCAGGCCCATTGTACGCTATAGCTTCGTCTGCGTTGGTCTCATCAAGGTCGGAGACATCTTCATCAAAGTCCCAGAGTATGACGCTATTTCTCCTTTTAACTACCTCAGAAACGCGATAGTACTAAGTAGGTAATTCTGAGGATGAAGTCATTGTTGAGATGATGGGTGATAAAAAGTTCCTGAGGGGTCAGCAATTCAGTGATGAAGTGCACTAAACTTTAGCGCTTTAGCTCCCCAAAATGAGACCTTTATGAGCACCTCGAAGGTCGGCATTAGAATTAAAACTGGGTAGGTAAAATAAGTGACAGGGATAAAAAAAAATGATAAATAACATATATCGCAGTGGACAAATGAAGAAAGGCAAAAAACGAATCCCCGAAACCTGGATCGAACAAGTGACCTTTCGGTGGCAATATCAGTTACAGCCGAACGCTCTTCCAGCTGAGCTATTCGGGGAGAAGGTCTGGATTCTTGACAAGAGGGCTTGCAATCGCAATTCACAATGTTCCTAAAGTAGAAAATTGCACCAAGTCTAACCGAGCATTCTGACCATTCATCATCGCCATGTTGCAATAGCTTCAGTCTCTTAGGTCCCATTCGGTATTGATATGTATGGTCATTTGATAGTCAGCTGTACAATGCTGTGACTCTTACTGGTCATCTTTCTGCTAGTCTCAATGACCCATGCGCAATTGACCTTCTGAATAGAGCCTCACCGAAGTAACCTTGTCGCTAACAAGGTTTTCACGTCAATAGCCACTGCAACGTCCTCATCGCCATTCGATCTCCGCTCCATATCCGAATACTACTTCCGACTCATCACCCGGAAATCCTCTTTCTGCTATTGACACTGACTCATTCGCCCAATGCGAAAATGTAAGCGAGGTCACAATGATGCCAGAACAAGTGACTCGGTGAAAAACACCGCCGATCACGGTGCCGATAACTCCGATCGGCGACACCCCGCAACGATCCATCCATATCATATCGACTCGAGCACGCGATCATATTCTCTTTCTCAACTTCAATCGCCCTCACAATGGCAACGCAACGATCCTCGCTTGGTCAAAAAGCTGGCTGGTTGTACCACGAGTCGGGAATCTCTGCTGTGTATGCTGCTGGTAGAGATGCCTGGCTGCTTATTCTCTCACGGACATGTCGCATGTTTGCATTCAAGGCTGTCACGCTTACGATAGCGCAGTTCTTCTCGGAACTGGGTTTCTCTGATTTCAGGATTGGATTGTTTATGAGTTTGACGCTGTTGGGTGATGTTGTGCTCGGCTTGGTTGTAACGCTCATGGCCGATGGGCTCGGTCGGCGGAGGGTATTGGTGGCGGGTGGCTTTTTGATGGCTGTCTCGGGCGCAATATTCTCAGTCTTTGAGAATTTCTGGATTCTCTTGTTCGCTGCCGTCGTTGGTGTGGTCAGCGCGAGCGGAAGCGACTTTGGTCCGTTCCGAGCCATCGAAGAGTCTATGCTGTCTCACATCACGACTCCGAAAACGAGAGCTGATGTCTTGGCTTGGTACATCACCAGTTCGAGTCTTGGGGCTGCAGGGGGTGCGGCACTGGCAGGAAGATTCGTCGAAAAGATGACAAAACGAGAGGGATGGAATCTCGTGAGGGCATACCATGCGACTTTCTGGGTGTACATCCTGATGGGTGCACTGAATGTCTTGTTTGCGTTTGTCATGAGTAACAAGACGGAAGCCCATCACGATGACTCTTCAGAAGCTTCAGACGAACTAGCTGAAGGACTTCTGCGCGAGTCGATGGATGAAGCGGAAGATGCTCGTAGGAGAAGACAGTCCGTGACATCAAATCATCCTGAGCCAGCGAGTCGCTTTTCAAGCGTTTCGTCGGGTACCAGGTCTGTCATGTACCGGTTATGGTTTCTCCTGACCATCGATTCACTTGCTGATGGCATGGTTTCGGAGTCTCTCACGACTTACTTTCTCGATCACAAGTTTTCACCTTCCAAGACTACCCTCGGAAACATCTTCTCATCAGCTCAGGTCTTGGCAACCGTCTCAACGGTCTTTGCAGGACCTCTATCTCGTCACCTGGGCCTCATCAACACCATGGTATTTACTCATCTGCCATCTTCAATTTCAGTCCTGTTCTTCCCTCTACCCAGTGGTCTGGTTCTCACAGTTATACTCCTCTTCATTCGTATGGGTCTAAACAACATGGATCAAGCACCCAGGGCAGCCTTCATCGCGGCTGTTGTAAAGCCTGAAGAGCGCACTGCTGTAATGGGGATTACTTCGACACTTCGAACTTTGGCCATGGCTACTGGTCCTTCGCTGACTGGAGGACTTGCTGAATCTGGAAAGTTCTGGATTGCTTTCTTGGTGGGTGGCGTCTTACGAATCATGTATGATTTGGGTCTCTGGTTTATGTTTGTAAACATGAGACTGCATAGTCACGAGACTCCTCATGAGGAGTCTGTTCCAAGAGGGCAGTCTATTGATGAAGAGGATGTGGAAATGTTGCGGCAGTCAATCGAGACTGAAAGTTCCGATGAGGAGCATCAAAAGTGATACATGGAAGAAGCTACGATAAGATATAATACTAAGCCGACGAACGAAACAGAAGGTAGCTGTACATATTGATCTTTTATGACCATAAAAGATTAGTGCGACAGCTACGAAAACGATGTTTATGGTTCTGGCTACACAAAAGCCAAACTGACATGGATGCTAGGTTCAGGGAACTTTACGAGTATATGACACAGCATGTGAAATTGGGATATACGTCATATTTATAGAATTGATTTTATGGTATGTAAAGACCATGGGTATCCATATCGTCGTGACTCATCTAAACAACGCCGTGAAGATTAAAAGCATAACCAAGCAATCGCAATCAACGATCCCCCAACAGCCGTCATGAGTTCAGACCCTGACAGAATGCTCTTCGCAGCACTTTCACTATCGCTACTACTGCCACTTAACGCCTCTGACATATAGGTCATGGTGTTCGGCGTAGCAGGGTAGTAGTCCTCGTTGTAGGTAGAGTTCAACGTCACACGCCCAACAACATCGCCAGATTCGAGACGGATATATGACTCCACGTCGCCCTTCTCCAACATATCCTCTGTGACAACGATCTCTCGTGCACCGCGGATCCAATCGCCGTAACCACCATATCCAGAATGTTGTCCGTAGCACAGATGAATACCGTTGCCTTCGACTGTCATTCCTTCGAGTTTCTTGTCCCAGCGATAACACCACGTGTTTCCGTGATCATGACCAGAAAATAATCCGATGACTCCGGGAACAGAAACCAAAGCCTCCATAAATGGCACGTCCTGGCCTCCGTAATCGCAAGTCTCATTGGGATCTGCGTTCTCACACCATCCGGCTCCTTGTTGGAACACTGGAGGATCCTCGTTGATGCCTGGCTGGTAGTTCTTTCGGATTCCAATCTCTGTTTGGAGTGCAACCGTGGCGTTTACTGGAATGTGGACGAATGCTAGCGATGGGAGAGTTTTGTTATACTTGTCGTTCAATTCGATGCTTGTTTCATTGAACCAATCAACAACACTCTGGTCAACCCAGTTTGGCTGATAAGATCCCTGATAATAGTTACCGCCGCGACTGTCGAAGAACCATAAGATGAGACTGGGACTGCAATCGCTGGTGTCGGTGCAGTCCGAAGGGTAAACAGGCAGATAGTAATTCGTAGTGCCCGACAACTTCTTGTTCACCATTTTCTGCGTGCGCGCTCCGGGGAACATTTGTTCGCGCTCGAGAATATCATCGCCAGCGATGTTGTAGTTATGGTCATGGTTGCCATATGTAGATGCCCAGGTCAAACTGCGGTTGACGATTGGCTCAACAATCATGTCAACGTAATGCGTACTGTTGTGAGCAAATGTTGAGTCTCCATTGATGAGATCGCCGTTGAGAACCACAAGATCAGGTCTGTCGTAGTCAAGGACTTTGCTGATCACTGCAACGGAATTGCGATCTTGCTCAGGACCTGTCGATGATTCATCTAGAACCGAAAGTCAATTACAATTCTCGCCAATTAATTGAAAAACTCACATTGTCCAAAATGCATATCGGAGAAGATGGCGATCTGAAAAGTGCCATTCTTGGTAAACCGCAATGGCTCGAGGTCGGTGTTGTTGACATCGGTAGCATAGCCAAGAGATGCTAATAAAGCTAAGCCAACAGTATGCCGTATCATAATCATGGTGTCCAACTTGACGATATCAATGGCGATAGTGAACGAAGTAAGTCACGATAGTTCCAGCCAAGCAATTGATCGACATATCGGCGGTCCAGCAGTTTTAAGCTAATCATCGAAACGAAGCATCGTCACATCGATGCGTCATTCCTGGAAGCATGAAAAGAAAAATACCATTCGACGATGCCTAATCAGTCTAGCCCTGGACGACGCACGGAGGTTAAAGAGGGGAAAGCATGCGACATCGTGTCAGGTCGTCGTGGTCAGGCGCGTAGGCCCAGCAAGGGAGACAGACAGTGGCGCTCTTCTGAAATCTACAGCGACGGGCCTAACGTTTTCGTTGGGAGAGGAAAACAAGTAACGGTAAAGACGGGAGTGGTTGAGAGGCATTCTGAGGCCTGTAAGTTATGCTGCTAGTTTAGTGAATTGGGCATCGATGATGCATTGTCTTGAATAGAGATAGACTATCTTGATACGAATATTATAGTTTAGATGCTACTGAGCCTGTTGATCAGGTATGTCTATGTCCATCTGCCGAACTCAATCACTCCAGGCGTGATCTGATGCATCGCACCGATCGATTTCGGCTCCGGAGCCGCGAAGTGGGCGCACATTTTGACCCGACCACCTTCGTCATCCCGTGGAGCTAGCAAACTCTAAAGGAGCGTAGCCTTGAAATTCGTGAATTTTCTGATCAATAATCGCTTCAATTGACGCGTAAGTCTCTGCGTCAACATTACCTAAGCCTCGTTCAAGACATGGGAACTTGACTTCAGCTGATGATTGGAGGCCGAATGCGGTAATTGAGCATGCGCCCACTTTCCGTGATGGGGTTTGACTCGGGATGAATGAGTGAGTGAGTGCTTGAGTGGGATAAATAAGACTAGACCGTGCCTGTTGCTGTTTTACCAGCCTTAGCTGCCGGTTCCTTGGCAGTTGTTAGCCCTTGTCTGATTTCCCCTTCTGCAGGGAGGAGACTCTGGCAGTCACCGACATGTTTTTATGAGAAATGCCGAATGCTCACTTCAGAGTCTAGCATTTGAGTCTGAAAAATGGCGACGGTGAATTAATGGGGGACTAGATACCGCTTACCCAGGCCTCAAGATTGAGATTGATGACGTCTAGGAAAACAGAGTGTACCGTAATTTGAGACATCGAGTCCTTGTCAATCGCAACCTTGTTTCAGTTGTCGACCCGACCGTGCAAGCGGTCAAAATGACTGCCGAAGCGTTGACCATCGAGACCTGATCCCGGCCTTGAGCTGACTGGAGCTGCTTCGCAAGGGAGAAGCCCAATGTTGCGAAAGGGTTGTACTTGACTGGAAACAACAATTAAGAGCACAACGCACTCTTGTATGTTTGGGAATACGAAAAGTAATTCGAGATTTGCGCTTTCGTGGGTCATGGTGATTTAATAAGTTTGAGAGCTTGGTTAGCAGCCGACTTGGCATCGGAAGAGCACTGCCCGTGAAGGGGAACCCAGCTTGTCAACAAATTGTCTGGGCGGTGAAACCGCATGACTTGGACATATCAAGGTGGCTCAAGTCAAATGACTCGACGATGGTTGGCCGGAAAGATAATTCTTCCGATATGGCTGACCAGCGTAACTGTCCAAGGAAAAACGTCCGTAACGAATCCCTTCATCACAGTATCACAGAAACCTTCCTTCGAGCTGGTTTCCACTACGATTTATAATAAGCGTGTTTAATTGGTACTACGTATAGCATTCGTAGCAGTCACATCATCAACTCACTCTGTACAACCATCGGCTGTCTGAGAACATCATGGCCAGGAATGAGATGCTACCCTGAAGCATGCTGAGATGAAAACACCTACAAATGCCTATATTTCTCAGTGACTCCGCGCCCCTACGTTACCGGATAGACTGGGTGAACAAAAATAACCCGTTCTGTTAACTCTTACATACATGCGATGTTCAGAACTGCAGTAGCAAGATGGTGTCTTGAACCTGGGTCCTGGTTCTGCCAAGCTGCAAATCGTTGAATCACATTGCCCCACGAAAGCTGAAGCTCCGAGATCGATCGACGGTTCATCTCGGTCCACCTTCTCCATCTAGACCCTACACCGCAAAGCGCTCAGATACAGTTTGCAGATCCCACAACTTCCATGACCCGCCTTCCACAAAGCGAAGCGAACTCAGTTTACTACGCGTTACCCATTGTATGGCGTTCCGCAAACACTAATGCACGGGTTGGTCCGTCCACCTGAAAGTGGCTGGCGTACAGCGTAAGACAACAACCTAGAAACGGTAAAAGATCGTGTGCAGCTGAGACATAAGCATCCCGTACTCGCCAATTTCGCTACTGGATTGGATGGGGAAAACGGGAACTGGAATGATGTCACAGAACAAGCAATGATCTGTGACCTTGAGATTGCTGAAGTTGGAGCATATGCCGGCTGTGAAGTTTCTTGGTTCCGGCATGTACTGTGTACGTTACTGCGCAGGGCACCGGTATAAGAAAAGAGACATTGAAGGATGAGAATTTGGAAACTTAAGACAGACAAGAATATCACGCGTCTGTTTGTGCCTCAATCCTCATGGGATCGAATTGCGTTTATAATTGTTGATGCACGCACTGAAAGCTACTCATTTTGGGGTTAAGGACAACAGAAGGTGAAAATGTTGAGTGTCAAGCCGGCTGTTACCGTGGAGGCTCATTTACCCTTGTCTAAGAGTTGTCTGAGTGAGTTCAATTGCCGGCCGCGACTTAGATTACCGACTGACAAAACGAGCAGGCGTTGAAAGAACCTACGCATATGACTACATCATTTTCTACCGATGGCTATCACCAGAACTTTACGAGAGGGGTCGAGTGATGGCGCGTTTGGTCGCTGAGATGATCGAAAAGAAGAGCCGTCGCATATGGCTTGACCAACACCAGATGACGAGAAGCACGGAAGCTGGAGAAGTGACCAAGAGGATTTCCAACACATTCTTGTCCGTGTCTCAAATTATTATTCTCGCTGCCCCGGGTGACTGGGACAGGTTTACAAACCCAAATGACATTCATCGATGGGAATGGGAGATGAGTCTTAGAAGTGGTGAGCGCAAGAGATACACAATCTCAGTCTGTTCAAAGCTGACAACTGACCCTCCAGACAAACAAGTTTGGCTACTTCAATACGGATTGCCAGATAATGGGCAGGCATTATCCAGAGCACAATTAGCAGAGGGCTTAGAAACATACTGCCCAAGACTGGCAGAACTCTTCAAAAGCAGGGATGTACACATACGGTCGTTGACGATGGACAGCATTGACGTGGTACTCAAAGAGATCGCCGAGGCCGCACAGTAAGAAACACCGAACGCGGGGTTGGCGGTGCACAAAGTAGACACGTATGTAGTTGTACAATGACATTTGTGATTCGGGGAAACCGGCAGTTCAGCTTAGTTTCACGATCGTCGCGGTGTGGCGTTGTGCCGAAAGTGTATGGAGCGGATAGACGAATGCAGTGAGACACGCATTAGGACGGAGACGGTAAAGACATTTAGCGGGGTGATTCCAGACTGGAGCGAGCATTGCCTAGCAGGATTAAATAAACAATTATCTGCTGGACGCTGGCGGGCATACCAGCTTCCCTCAATCGCATCCAACATCACCATGTCTATGCTCGATTCCATGACACCCGGCTCTAGCCATCACGCGAGCCTCGATCAGCCAATTGCATCCCAAACAGGAGCAATGTGTAGGTGGTTCACAGATTTCTGACTGAGGTTCATAAAACTGACGTCCATGCAGCAAAAGAAAGCCATGACATCCAAATTGCCTTCAAGGCGGGCAAAGAATATGTAGTCCCTTGGGAAGGCCAAGAAGAACAACGCATTGAGCAAGCGATGCAAGACCTTGGCTCGTACCTCAGCGATCTTGACCACTCGCTCTCCTACGAGGGGACTGACAAGAGAGTGGTATGGCGCAAGTCCTGCTGGTTTGCTAGTCAGGGCATTGGTCATCCCTTCTTGGACTCCGAGACCGACATTGCCAAATTTGACGGTGATCTGAAAGATGGCCTGACAGGGCTTCAAGCGTTGCATGAAGCCAGAACCCGAGAGTCAGCACACTGTCTGAAGTCTGCGCTCGACAGTGCCTTGGTAACGACTAGTATGGCTGTTGGCATTGACCCTGCATTGATGCAGCGGTGTACAGTTCGCTACCGTGCTATCAAGTACACGCCCCATGCTGGTGCTCCCGGTGGCATTGGCCTTCATCCAGATGGAAACCTCCTCTCTGCCCTCATCACAAACGGGCCAGGACTTCGGGTCTATGACCTCGATGGAACAGTGCGCTTTCCTGGACATAAAGGCACTATCATGATGGGTGGCTCAACGCTCTACCGCTGGGCCAATGAGTTCATCCCGACTTTTCATGATGTTGATATCAGTGGGAATGAAGTCAAAGTGTCCATCGTGGCCTTCTTCAACTTCCCTGACATGGAGACGATACCGAGGACTTTAAGAGCCGATGGTGATAATTTCTTTCATGATATTCGACGGATCAAGGAAGATGACAAACTTCCAAGCGGGGAGCTGTCGGCGCTATGGGATGTTATCATCAAGAACCACCAGTTATCTCTACCTCCAGTTCTTGCAAGTGGATGACCTTATTTCTACCATGGTGGCCTAGCTAAGATCTTTGTGATAAACATTTAAATGAACAATTCTCTCATATCGACCTATGTTAATTGATAGACCCACGATTCGAGTCGAATGAGGGCTCGATTTATTGACAATTTTGATGCTGTTCCAAGTCTTTGATGCTATCGTGTCAATCTTGAGCTGACCGATAGACCACAATTTATGATGCAACCAATCATCTAAAGGGCGTACGGCCCTGAGCGAAATAAGCAGGTCGTGTCATGATTTCTAATCACGTCATATCATAAGCGCTCATCTCCAGCAATCAAGCGCAGCACTTCCAATATTTATATGCTAAGTTCTTTCCACTTACCTTGGCAATCTTGCAATAATTACAAAAGCTTCAGCATCATGTCGCAACCAACGAAAATAAAAGCAGTCTTCTTTGACTTCATGGGAACATGCCTCGATTGGCACAGTAGTGTCGTGCAGGCTCTACCCCCCGCCATTCCCAAAGCCGAAGCCTCTAAACTCGCTATTGAATGGCGGCGACGTTACTTCATCGCCAACAGAGAGCGCCTTGCCCAAAAGCTTGCGCCCGAAGATATAGACGACACGCTCATTCGCGTGCTTGACAACGTACTGGAAGACTCACCAGAGTATAAGCAACATTTCGATGCGCCAATCAAAGAACAATTGATTACTGCCTGGCATTCTCAGCCAGCTTGGCCAGAAGTTAGACATGCAATTCAGTCGATCCGAGAAGACCTTGGTCTGGAAGTCTTTGTTCACGCCAATGGCACAACACGCCTGCAGCTTGACCTAACTCGCTTTGCTGGGCTCAACTTCAACATGCTCTTCTCTAGCCAACTGTTGGGGACGTACAAGCCAGATCCGGAGGCGTACAACAAGGCGTTGCGACTCGTCAAGCTCAAGCCTGAAGAAGTTGTGTTGGTTGCGGCTCACGCATTTGATCTGAGAGGAGCGCAAAATGTTGGAATCAAGACTATCTACATTCATCGTTGGACTGATGATGTTGATGAGGATATGGACAAGGTGAAGGGAGAGTTTGGTGCTTTTCTGGAGGGGATGGAGGATTTGCCTGCCACAATTGAGAGAATGCAATCTTGAGGACACACTGGCGTTGGCACATTGGTAAATCCCAGTTGTTTCATTGGCCTTCTCAGTTTGATCAATGCTTTGGCTGAAGGCTCCACGCCACTTCTCCCTCGGTCCACAGTGGAGTTTGACAGCATGCGTAGCACGCTTGACATTCAACATCAGATAAACAGAGAATTGATTTAGGACTACAGAATAACTAAAACTGATCAGTAACAAGTAGCCTATTGCTTGAAGACTCCAATTTGAGGTCAAAGTTTGGCGTGGTGGCGCAACCTAAAACTCAAATCACAACACCAACATATTCGCAAATACGACACAAACGTCTCTAAAAATAGCTCCGGTGCGCTGGCGCAATGGTAGCGCGTAGTCCTCCTAAGACTAAGGCTCAGGGTTCGAGTCCCTGGTGTATCGAACCTTTTGATGGTTGGATTGTCAGGATGTGTTTGGCGAACTTTTTGACTTTTTGGCTGATTCACGACACTCTGCGGCATCGTTCATCAGGATGGGTTGTGGGGCTACCCTTCGCTGGCATTTGCATGAAGTCATTGTTGTCTAACGTATGATATAGGATTGCAAGATGATCTGCTGGTTGTTATCGCATCGTAGACTCATATTAGACTGCAGACTATCGATCGAACACTCAATTGATTCAAACTAGGCCTAGAATAGCTCATTCAACTGTCACCTATAATGAGGAATATTACATCTTTGCGAATTGGTCACCACTTTGAGCCCCATGGTCTCAGAGATCCATCTTGGCCATGGTTTCTTCAGCTTCCTGCTTCCACTCCTCACGCCATCGAGACAGAGGGGGCCGTCTCTGAACGACATCGCCCGCAGCCCAAGTGATACGCTTCTTGTCCTGCTCCTCTGTAACATCGTTGTCGGGGCAGATGATGTAGAACTCGTTCTTCCCCATCTTCTCGTACAGATAATCTGCCACCTGCTCCGCTGTCCAGGCTCCAGCTGGCTTCACACCACCCGGCGTTGCTCTCGTCTGTTAAGCATTGTCAGTCACTATCCCTAAACTTGGAAGCATTCTCTTACCAGACCGGTGTAAGTCCATCCGGGCACAAGCAGATGCACGCTGGTGCTTGCGTCCTTCAGATCCCAGCTCAAATGTTCAGCAAGAGTCTTGACCGCAGCTTTGGAGGCGTTGTATGCTGGATTTCCAGGTGGGTTGGTAATACCCTGCTTGCTACCAGTGATGACGATGCTCGTTGGCTTTGACTTGGCGGCGTCTTGGACCACGGAGAGAAACGTGTTTATGCCATGAATGACGCCGAACAAATTGGTTTCGAGGGTCTTGTTTGTTAGCATTTGTCGCGCCATCCCAGTTTCAACGTACATCTCTGAAGTAATCTTCATCTCCCCAGGTACCCCTTAAACCTCGGCCAGCGTTCAAGACCAAGAACTCAATGCTGCCAAACCTGTCCAAAGCGAGTTTTTTCAGCGCCTGCCAATCCGAGGTCAATGAGACATCAACCTTGGAGGTAACGACGTCAGAGTCATGGGGGAAGTGCGTCTTAGTCAGAGCCTCCAGAGCTTCCTCGTTGTTATCAACGAGCAATGTGCGCATGCCCTTGCTGCGACATGTTTTGGCAATGGCCAGTCCGATGCCTGAGCCAGCTCCGGTGATCAATGCAGTGGAGCCTGGGCTAAAAACGTCGGTCGGAGACATATTTGCTGTATTAGACGATGGCTTGGGGGGCGATAAACTTGGATCTCAAGGCAAGGAGAATTGGTAGCTGGTTAGAGGTTATGAAGCAGGCTTCATAACATCGGCCTTTATATCATGAGTTCGGACTTAACGCATTGTCATCAACCCGAATGGTCATCCCCGCATCAGGGTAGGCTTGAGGCGGGGCATGAGCACATCTGTTAGCGAATATTAAGGTGGAACAGCACGGTACTCATCTATGCACGTCAAAATGGTGGAGATAGAAGTAGTTAAAGTCGTCCTTCATCGCTTTCATTAACAATCCTCATCATTCCACTTCAAGACTTTAGGGTAGTCTCTTCGCAACATCACTCCATAGACTTATGAATTGTTGGTAATTTTCGGTCATCATATCTCTATGTCTAGCTTCCGATTTGTATCATTCTGCTTTAATCCGTTTAGACCTGTTGTCCTACGGCAACTTCGTGATATCGAACACGACGTGGGTCGATGACGTACACGCAGAGGTGTCTCAGGAGGGGAGAATAAAACCTCGAGCTGCAGTCCTTGAGCGAGAGCGTCTAAGCCCACACAAACCTATATCAGTCTACCATGTCAGGCAAAGCACAGGGACGCAAAATCGCCATTATCGGCTCCAGCGGCCAGGTTGGACAGCCGACCGTTAAGGCTCTTCTCGCATCTGGCATCCACACCATTACTGCTGTCCAACGCATCGAAGCGACAAGCACATTTCCACCTGAGGTCATCGTCAAATCTGGTGATCTGAAGGATGAGTCCTTCTTGGCGAGCACCTTCCAAGGCCACGATGCTGTCGTGCTCATGGTGCCTCTCCCTCACCTTGTCAGTCTGCAAGAGTCTGCAGTTCGAGCAGCAGCAAAAGCTGGTGTCCCATATATCCTACCTGCAGAGTTCGGTCCAGACCCCTTTGCATCGAAACTGATCGAGGACAACCAACTACTGCAAGACAAGAAGAAAATCCGCGATCTGATTGAGGAAGTCGGCGTGAGCAGTTGGATCTCAGTGGCTGTCGGCCCCTTCCCCGAAATGATCAAAAGTGGTCTTTGGGGCATCGATGTTGAGAACCGTAAAGCTACGATTTGGACCGGAGCGGTTGGAAAGGTCAGCACGACGAGTGTTGCACAGACTGGTCAAGCTACAGCTGCAGTATTGAGCCTCCTTGAACGGGACTTGTCTAGGTACAAGAACAAAGCTTTCTATGCCCCTTCATTTCACCTAACCCAGAAGGAGCTTCTACTAGCAGTTCAGAAGGCAACAGGGACGGCAGACCAGGACTGGGAGATAGAATACCAAGATGTGAATGATGGACTGAAAGATTGTAACGACAAGATTCAGCAGAAAGACGCGATGGCCCCATTTGTCAAGTTCTTCATTAGTCATTTCCGGGAGGACAGTGGAGGAGAATTTGAAAGTAAGGTCGATGTCAGCGAGGTGAAGAAGCTGCACGAAATCGGGCTTCAGAAGGAGACTCTCGATGATGTGCTTAAAAGGATTGTCTCATAAGCTGCCTAAGTCAATCGGCAACACTTGGCATGGATGATGGCGAGCAAGGGTGAACAAAGCTCCCATGGCTGAGGGAAGGGTACTACTCCTACCTAGTGTCGTCAAAGCATTAGTAGACAGAGTATGCAGCTAGCTTACTTTATGTTTGGCTTTGCCGACACTATCGTCAGTTTCAATATTCTCCAGGACAATATATGAATAGAAGGAGGCATTTTTATATCTACGATGACCAAAGCATAGAGTTCCTCAATTTCGAGTACATAGTTCCTTCTTACCTCGATTCCCTTCGTTTCATTCATTGCCGCAGCCCAAAAGACATCATGGGATCTCCTTAACATTGACACGACCAAAGTTCTCCACGAGATTGGTCAGGATGTGTGACTCCATGTCCTCATGCTTCTTAACAACGCTCACTGGCCAGTGACTTCGAACAGCCACTGCCATCTCCGGTTCTGGATCAGCCTCGTATCTGTCCAGCGCCATGGAACTCTTCAGCAAGCCAATCTCCTGCGGGCGCATTTTGCCTCGGAAAACTCTGAAAAGTGCTTGCGCCAAGTAGTGGTTTCTTCGTTGGTAGTAGAGGCCTTGGGCTATCAGAATGAGAGTCGATCGTAGCTGCTCAATTTCTTCTGTCGGTGTATCCTCCTTGATGGCATCTATACTATCATAACCCATCACCATCAAAGGGATGACGATGAAGAGGTCCATTGCTTCGAAACCATGTCGGAGGTAGTACAGTCTAACAAGGGTTTGCATGTTCTTCTTCGAGTCAGCTACGATACGCTGCGGAGAAGGCTCACGAGTCGTTTCTGCATCGTAAAGAGGCTCAAAGATCGTCAGTAGTAAGTGATGATAGTACATACTGCGAGGTAGTCAGTAACCCACTTCATGCATACTGAAAGCCATATTGGACTAAGAGTGAAAGGCAGCACATGAAGCACTTACTGTAGTTGTAGCTGCCCAGGAAGGACAATCCTCCTTGGAGTTAGAGATGCAGTCAGGCTTTCGTACCATTGTTCCAGCCTTCCGCGGAACTGATAAGCCAGGTCAAGTCCTACCTTGGAACCTTCTGAGTATGCTGCATCGCAATACTCATTCATGATGATCCGGAATCGGCTCCGAGCATGGATTACTTCTCCAAAACACATCGATGAAAGGCCGTGATTCAATGGGTATTTGACCCATATTTCGCCATACCACGACGGGTCTTCTGAAGGATCTGGAAGCGGCCATTTTGGTGGCTCCTTGATGAGCGGCGAGAGCATGAACGAGAAAGCAGAGAGACTCATGTTGTTAGTACACGGTCAGATTTGTGGAAAGGTACTCACGTTTCCCAGTTGTACAGAGCCCACGCTAGGTTTTGAGTGCCCCTCTGTATCCTCTTGCTCTGATCAACGTTGATGGTGTCGAAGATGCGAAGCTGGTTTGCCAAAGCCACAGCATGCACCCTATAAGGTTTTCCGACTTCGTCGAGCCCACAGAGATTATGAAATACACTAAAAAGGACACCTGCCTGGATGGTAGTCATACGCGGGATAGAAGCCTCCAGCTCCCATAGTCGCTTGGCCTCGGCAATGAAGCGATAGGCAAGAGTGTTTGGATTCCAATACTCGACCCGGTTGCTGAAATTAGGGTAACAGACCTGATAAATATCTCAGCAATCTTATCCACGCCATTGTAATTGATATCTTACGCAAGCATATGCGAGAGTTACGTTGACAAGCAACGAAGAACAAAAGTCTTTTCGGCGCGCTGCCATATCTTCCAGGAAAAGGTCCTTGTGAAAGGCTGCAGTGAAATTGTACTCGCAACGGAAAAGCACAGTTAAAAGGTCTCGCATGAGATTGTCGTCGTCACAGACGCTGGCCCACGCCGAGGCTTTGACGTCGGAAAGCAGAGGATCGAATACGTGCGCTGCGTGAAAGGGCTTCAAGTAAGGGCTCCTTTGCTCTTCGGAACCCAGGCTAGCGAGACGTTCAGGCAGGTTTGTCTCTGATGTTTGGTGTTGAGAATAGAGAGAGGTTGTTTCATAAAGCATTGAGTTCAGATAAGGGTTGTTGAGCTCAAACTCTCTGGGCATCTCCGATCTGTACGGGAACTCGTACCGTAATCGTGTCTCAGGAACGACGGCCATCTGGAGTAACATGCTGCCTGCTCTGGCCTGACTGACAACTGATGCAGCGTCTGTTCCGGTCCTGAGCCTTTGCAGGATGGCATGGGCATCCTGATCAGGTAAGTTCTTCAGCAGCCCGACGAGTTCCTCGTAGACACTGGAGCCTTGAGTCGAGCCCTCACAGGTCTCGTGAGAACATCGATTCAGTGCCTGTGAGCGAGTTTCCCCTGGCCGCGTAACATAACTGCAGGCTAATTTGCGCTGAAGACAGCGACGACATACTGGCCTCTCTCCAGAACACTGATGATGGTTAGTCAGACCCCGCTCAGGATACGACGCGCCTGGATACCTTGACCTTGTATTTGCGGCATGGCGCGCAAGCAGACAAGACAGGATTGAGCCTGCGCTGTGTTATAGTGCGTCTCGGAGGGGGCGGTGTCGGTTGAGATCCTCTTTCTGCTGGTAACAGAGTGCGCAAGGGACCGGTTCTAGGAGCTAATGACGGCTGTTGGGGGTTGGTCTGAGGCATTGCCCACGATTGGCTAGGGTTGCACAAGATGAATCTGGCGATCGGTGGAGCTCGGATAAGCTAAGTCTCGATACACTTAAACACGCGTATGGTAGCTAGCATGCGTATTATGTATGTATTGGTGTATGGGCCTAGCTTTGTTGGGAAGTGATGAGTGAATGTCTGTTGAATTGCGAGACGGTCAAACAGAAACTGTCAGGCAAGATCTGTCTCGGCTGCTGACATACGACGTGAGCCCTCAGCCAATTAGCACCAATCGGAGGTTGCTGAGCTAGACGTATTCGTGACGTAAACGTCTCAGATGCAACATTTATTTACTGACTGACGATCGAGAGGCGCAGGGTCAAGGGAGAAAAGAGAGAACAAGAACACGCCGTGTATTTATTGCGTCCAAAGTAAGCATCATCCGTATCGCTTACAATCCTATCCACTAGGTACTCAATCATAGGCTTCATTAGCCTTGACACGGTTCTCGGGCGGTACCAGACCGTGAGTCGCCCTAAGCCTCAGTGTATTTCCATCCGCAGAAATACAAAAGTTTTCCTTCATAATATCCGGACTTCCTTTGCCAAATCCATCGGAATCAGATCCCGATCCTCGATCTGCAAGAGCGAGAGCGAGAAGATCCGGCACAGACTCCCATGAAGAAGAGGTAATGCCTGACCAGATGGACCAGATCGAGTACGCCATGACAAGGAGTGCATAGACGTAAAAGACGGCCATGGCCCCGCGCATGGCCAAGCTGTTATCGGCAAACGCGAACCCAGTTACCCATGTCTCCATCTCTGTACTGAAGAAACGAGCCTTGTCCTCGTCTGCTACAGCATATGGGCTGCCTCCAGGACCAAACACCTTACCGCCCTGTGGCATGAAGCTTCTCCACCACTCACCATTGGGATCAGCCAAGGTTGTGATGGCTGTGATGTTTGGGGTTGATCGGCCCAAGCCGTTAGCCGCCAACGATCCAAGAACCGCCTCCAGATGCGCCGTAGACTTTGATCCCTTCCCATCGTTTGTCCATACGCCGCTATTGAGGAGCATTTCGTGTATGACTGTTCGATTTGTTCTTGAATCAAAAGGGTTAAGGTATTTGGCAAAGCTCGGTGCGAGATGGACGCGTTGACCGTAACCCGGGCTTCCAATCCATGAGCCCCCGAGCGCTGTGGCAATGGGCCCTGAGAATGGCGGGTATCCCTTGCTGGCGAGCGAGACTGCGTCGCCACTCAGCTCAGTGGTAATCCACCGTGCATCGATCATACATCCGTAAATATCGGCTGCCTCGCGTGACTTGTTCGATGGAGCAGCGACCACGACACCAACCGAGCTATTGGCAATGACTGGTGCTGAGTCAAACCACAACACTTCGGGCTTCTTCAAGCCAGGTAGAGTATCTGATAGCCAGTCACTCACGACGTCCTTTGTGACGTTGAGCGTTGTTGGCGGGAAGACCACAAAGTCGGGGAACAGAATTGTCTTTGCTTTGGCATCGGTCACGGACGTCAGCTCACATCTCGTGTTGGTGATTGGCATCGGTGCATTGAGCTTGTGAGTAAGCTTTTGGAAGTTGTTGAATCGAGTCTGCTTTCTCTTGGCGGAATCGTCCGCAGCCTGTTCCCAGTGCAGTGACGTTGTGACGCATGCTTCAGCGGGCCCGAGGTGAGGCATTCTGGCGACGGTATGGTTTGGGCTGTTCAGGTTGAACCATTTCTCTCTGACATCCACTACGAGATTGACCAGCGTCGAAGAGTATCCGGCGACAAGAATCTCACTCGGTGGCCGTCTGATGAACAAGCCATTGTCCACTTCACCGGATAGAGGCAGCTTGGAGACGAGCTGGCTGTTGATGACATCCCATTGCCAAGAAGGGCAGCGCTCATTTCCGGTAACATTACAGACAGACCCTATTGTGTTGTCTTCCGTCAGGACGCCAGGAAACATCTCATCTCTGGTACCGTTGAAGTAAACAAAACTGCCACCCGCTCTCCAGTCACCCTCTTGCGGCATCATGGCAACAGCACTAAGCGAGGAGGCACCCAGTGCCATAATCGTGCATACAAACACTGTAATTATGAAGCCGATCTTCTTCCAGGTCTGAGAGAACTTCCCCTTCACAATGCTGAAGAACTCCTCAGACCACAGGAAGCTGATCTCGGATATTTGCTGCCCAGCCACCAGAGCACCGTATGGAACAGACTGGCCGATCGTAAACTCGTGTCGGATCATGGAAAAGACGATGGCGTTGAGTGATAGCACGATGAACATTTCCATAAGCTTCGCAGCAAATTGGATACCGAGTTTCTTCTCGACATCGTAGTCGGGCTTGCCTTCGAGTTCCTTGCCAATGTAGTAGTTCTTGAAGATGTAAAAGCTCAATGTGATAATGCCAGCGATGGCAGGTAGATGAACCAAAGCAGCGAATATTGCAGTGAGGCGGTCTTTGACGATGGGTACCTGTCTGTTCTTCTTCTTTCGGATCGATGCTTCTAGGGCTTGCATGCGCCATTTCTTCAAGATTGTCTTCAGTCTCCAACTCGATGGGTTTGACTTCCCGGACTGTCCCTCGAGGCTGTCGGAGGAGAATACAGCAGCATTTTTGTTTCCGCCGGCTGATGCCCTTCCGACACCAGCATCGTCTTGTTGTGCTAGGTGACGCAGTTCATGCTCTTCCGACTCAACAGGTTCGTACTGAGGCTGCGATTTTGGTGTCGATCTCTCGGCCATGGTTTCTCGATCCCAGCAGAATAGACAACTTGTGGTTGCGAAGCCGAGAGGCGGGCAGGCTGTACTTATGAGCGTAGTCTGCCTACCCCATCTCCATGCATGCTATCACAGTGGGGGCTATAAGTCACAGGCGGGCAGGGAGTAGAGACTTCAAACTGGGCAAAATTGATCGTTTGAGCCACGGTCGTGCTAGGAGCGGGATCCCAGTAACTTTTCGCTCCCCACTGAACATGGCAGTAAACGAATGTAATATGCATCGCCAAAAACATCGCAGATAAGTGGACAAAAGAAAGTCTAAGTCTGATCCCCAAGCCTGCGATAACCACAGCTGGCCGGAGTTGAGTCTTTGAGATATTACAGTGCATGAAGCAACAGCATACCGACGACTCGGAACATGATGGTATGCCAACAATGTGGGCAAAATGCACGACTCCATGTTTCGGAGCACAGCCTCAAACAGGGATCTTACGTTACAGACCACCATTTCAGCCCTGTCAAATGGTGGCAGGACTCGGAGTTTTGAGGCTTTTATGTCAGCTCCGACATCCCATTTGAAGATGAGTCGCATCGGTTAGTTTTACCCTTGCCAAACCAACCCACATTTGTCAATTTTGTCCAAATTCCTGTTGCTGGACAAATTGTTAAGCGTAAGCGCTAAGGGAAATGCCCAGGAACATGATCCTGCCAGGTGAAATTTGGTAAGGATTGTCTTCGATCAGGCGCTTAATATTTTTTCTCGCGTTGCACCATGGCTGGGGACGACATCCAAATCAAAATGATTAGTATTGCTACCCCGAAGCTACCTGGTTAGGCACCTGTGCAAGGAAAGCCTCCTCTCCCCCCTTGCTTTGTTACAGAGACGGAAGAGGGATGTGGATGCCACTGAGGTGAGAAGGCAGAGGATGGTCTGCCAACCCAAACCGTTATTTGCCTTCCTGTATGCCATATCCGTAGCCTGAGATGATGTACCAAAACCAACAAGCTCCTTCCAAGTTCTTGAATACTATGCCAGCAAACTTGCGTCACTCATCATTTGCGCACCAATGTCTTACCTACTCAGGTCAGCGATGATGTGGCAAGTCCTTCTAGTGAGACATGTAACAATTGGCGTTGATTAAAGCATCTTGTAGATACAGCCGTCGCTGCTTCACAAACCTCAGGTCGAAACAAAGATAAAGCGCACGTGCGTTTAATAACTGATTCAGTCTGTAAAAAAAAGTAGGTCAATGATTGTGAGCAGTGTGGTGGACAGATCCACTGAACAAGCTTGAGGCTCTTTGTTCAAATAGTATGGGTTAGGTGGCTGTCCAACTGACCAGTCCTGATGTTCAGTAGTTCCTGAATGGTTTCCATGCCTGGCCTCAATACTAGTGTCTGAACATTCACAGTACATGACTTGTTTATGCTCACCAACAATAGTATTCGTTCACTCATAAATCATGATCATGCCTCTGCTCAAAGCACTTTATACTTGTCTCTTAGCCAACTACCGATTCACATCCAACACCAACTAATCGTCGCGAGTCGTTTCAAAATACCATCAGAATGTCTCTTGACGAACAAAAGCATGGAAAGTCTCTATATTTTCCCGAAAAGAGTACTTTGTTTCCACAATTTCAGAAACTGGACCCCGTGATCCGGCGTCTCATCTGGGAATATACACTCCCTAGCTCTCGAGTGCATTACGTCGAATACATACAGTTCGTACCTGCACCTGTCAATCCCCAGGGCCGATATCTTAGCATCAAGTGTCCTCCTGTACCCATTGCATTTTCAGTGTCTAAGCAATCACGCTATGTTGCGAGTTTGTACATGACGCGGTTCCCTCTGAACACAGCGTTCAATCTTGATAAGCGTGGTGTAATACCATATGGCTACTGTAGCCCATATGATACTCTCTATATCGAGAAAGTATTCCAAAGCCAGCAGAAATGGAAACTTGGACACAATCCTTTCTGGTCTTTGGCATATGGTCTTCAAGCGAATGGCATGATGAACGCTGCGATTACTGAATTTCCAGCTTATCGAGACTTGTTTGCAGGCTTCACACCAAGTCAGAACATCACACTTGTCAAGATAAAGGAGGTCGAAGGCTTCGATGAACACCATTATTGCAGGAGAGTCTTACCAGCTGATCCAAACCACAGTTATGGAATTGAGTTCGATGAACCATACCATGCTACAGCATTTGAGCGAGATCTTAAAGCATGGAAATTTGAGCAGGCTTCAAAGATCAAGAAGAAAGGCAAGAGAATGCCAGAAATAAGAATTGCTGAAATGGCTCTTGCCTGCGAGTGTGTTGATGTGAAGGAAAGGATGAAAGAGAAGGTCAGGGAGTTGAACAGGAAGGCGATGTCAGAGCAACTGGAGCAAGATTGCCTAGAATGACCAATAGGACGAACTTGGTGCCCTGAAAAGGCGAGCGCACGATCTGAGGCTGAAATAATTTGAATTGCTGCTTGTACTATAAGGACGAGTATATGAACTGCTAGATATATATGAGGAATACCAGAGCTAGTCAGGGCCAAGCAGGAGATGGTTGATATATCATTATTCATATATCATTTTTGTGTTTTAATACAACAAGAATGATGAGACACAGAAAATGGTAAAGACCAGATTGATTAGTATCGAGAGAGGAAATATATCGAGCACACTCAGTAGTATCCTGCAGTGACATTTGACCTTGGGGCCCTGGGCATGATGAAACCTACCCCCAATACTAGTAAATTACGAATCCTAGGATTAATACTTCAGTTTTAGATGCAGGTAATTCTTTCCAGCAGTACTTACTTCTTTCTAACAGCGATTTTTCTCATCAACCGCAATTTCCTCTTTTCAGCAGCTCGTCTTGCCAGCGCACTTACTTTTTTTTCAATAACAATTACTTCGTATCACAAGCACCTCTTTCTTAAATATAGTGCTGTCATGATATTCAATGCTCCTTATTCGATTTTATGCTTTCGTGGTTGAGTTCCGGCAACTTGTCGCACCTAATCGAAGCACAGACTCAGGCACATCAAGGCACTGATCGACCGTGATAATACTAGAAGCATATCTTGTTAGCACTAGAAACCATACATTCTCAATATCTGCTATTCACGCTCTCTGTCCCGTGCTATCTTGCAACCGTGTTCACTGACATTACAGCAATTGGTAGCTTATCAGCCCTGTACTGCCAGTCCCCGTGATTCAACAAGAGTAATGCCTATAAAAGAAAGGTTCTTCGACTGGGAAATTTGCATTTCTTCTTTTCTCAAGTCACACGATCATAAAACCATTCCAGCCTTCCAACTACCAAAAGCCCAACCAAACGACTTTAATCTCACCCAGACAAATAAAACAACATGCCTGCTCCGGCTCGACCCAGACCCCCTAAGCCCTGCCCAAAGCCTGACCCGCCTCCTCCTCAGCCCGCCAAAGCCTCATAACTCGGTTGCTTGGGAAAATATTGAGGTGTTTGGCCGAAGGACTTGCCTCGTGGTAAAAGAACATACTCAAGCAGTTGAATTTTAAGCATATTAGGGATGGGGGATCCGCATAACATAGGTACTTTGCTTGCGAAAAGCTTAGATACTTAAATAAACTTTGATTTTGATCATTTTTTCGTGCACCAAAGACCATTTAGTAGCATGACAGCTCAATGCTACATCTTGATGTCTTCATGGCTCAAGGTGAAGACATGCGTTGACTATCAACAACAAGCTACGGAGATTAATTCTATGGCCTACTGCAGACCGGAAAAGCTTTGAAAGGTGACATTCCAAATAAAGGGATATTATTTTTACCGAGCTCTTCATTGCTGAATAGTCTTCGCTACGTCGGCATCGTGCTGAGTTCCTAACCAGGTGATTGAAGTTGCGTTTAGTTGCTTCACGCATTCGGGTGGGTCAGGCTGTCACCCACTATCCATCCACTGTAAGGATCCCGTATTTCCAGAACGAAACAGACAGGCCTGTTCTCCAGAAGACCTTTGGAAACTTCAAGTACCTTTCCATCAAAACAAAAACAGAACCATGTCCAGTGGGACAAACAGTCCGTCTTCAGATAGGCCCAATATATCCGTATTGGGAATTTGTATCAATAGTAAAGTCTGAGATGCCGTTCTAGCCGTGCGCCGGTGACACAATATCTTGCGAAAGTGGTGTTAGACGCACAGAACCCACTGATATGGTAGGAAACCCGGTTCACCTTGCTCTCGCTATAGCAAAACAGCAAAGATTGTCGAGATATGGAGCTAGGATAAAGTCAAATCTACTCCACTGCAACGATCGCTATCGTCGATGCTCAGATGCAAGCCCTACACCCGGCCAATACACGAATCGTAGCGTTGTTTGCTCCGTTCTTCTTGGAGCTTTTTGCACCTTTTTCGGAACCCCCGAACTATTCTTTGCTTCCTCCGACGAACTACCTGGCAGTTTGGCGATTTACGATTTGCTCATTAATAACTCATCACCCACTTCCCGGGCTGTAACGTGGGATCGGAGCGGCCCGACTCCGACATCATGACCAACAATGCAAGTTACTCCTTCCAGACCCCTATGTCAAACCAACAGATCTCAATGCACTCAAGAGTGGTTGCTTGAAACATGGATCACCCACATAAGTCCCTCTTTTTATGCAATTTGTCAATGATGTAAAGATTGAGATGATGGCGACATCAGTCCGGGGGCGAAACATGGTGTTACAAAACCACCATAAACAAGATATCCAGTCCGTACTCTTCAGCGATTCATCGGTTTGTGAGATCCCAAGCCCTGGTAACTTATTGCTTTCGAGAGGTTACTATCAGCTACAATATGGGTGAGTAGTCTCGCGCCAAATCGAAGCACGACTAATAAGTTCTTGTTAGCAACCTCAGTTGAGGCTGTTCAAGGCAAGAACCCAGCACACGACCCTGAGGCCAATGCTGTGTCTCTATCCGATAGCACCTCGGATCGATTACCCCCGACCACCGAAGAGAAACAGAAATTACGGAAAATAGCAGGACGTATCCCATGGGTATCATATCTTCTCTGCATCGTTGAGCTTGCTGAACGAGCCTCATTCTATGGTTGCAAGACAGTCTTCAACAACTTCCTCCAATTTCCGCTGCCAAAGGGAGGCAATGGAGCCGGAGCTGTGGCTAAGAACGACCCCAATGGCCATGCTGGTGCTTTGTAAGTTGATTCGATATGTGACTGAACTATTAACTGACCAAAGTCAATGGCAGAAACCGAGGCTTACAGTTTGCCTCGGCCATGGTTCTCCTGTTCAACTTCCTTGCCTATGTCATCCCAATCTTTGGTGCGTGGCTCGGCGATACGAAGACGGGTCGTTTCAGAGCCATCATGTACGGGGTAATCATCGGCGGTGTGGCACACGTTATCATGGTTGGAGGCGCAGCTCCTGCTGTTCTCAAAGCCGGCAATGGGCTTGCACCGTTCATGATCAGCTTCTTTCTACTGGCTATTGGAGCCGGTATATTCAAGCCCAATCTTGTTCCTCTTCTCATCGACCAATACACCGACCAGAAAGAATTTGTCAAGACACTCAAGTCTGGTGAGCGGGTTATCGTTGACCCTGAGACGACAATCCAGAGAATCATGTTGATCTTCTACATGTGCATCAACATCGGTGCCTTTTTCATGATTGCTACAACTTACATCGAGAAGTACGTTGGCTTTTGGCTTGCTTTTCTGCTCCCTGGTATTATCTACATCCTACTGCCAGTACTGCTCATGTGGCGATTCAAGACTCTCAAGCGCGCACCACCACAAGGATCGGATCTCAACAACTTCTTCAAGATTGTCGGGTTGGCTATCAAAGAGAACAAAGGTAGAGTGTGGTCCAAGAACTTCTTTGATTCGGTCAAGCCGTCAGTTCTTGCTGCCAAGGGCAAGACTGTTTCTTGGGATAGCAAGGCAGTCGAGCATGCGCGCAGAACTCTGTCTGCATGCCAGATCTTTCTCTACCAGCCGTTATTCTACCTCAATGACGGCGGTGTTGGTACGGTATTGTCTAATCAAGGCGCATCGATGACTACCAAAGGTGCCCCAAATGATCTGCTTCACAACTTCAACCCCCTCACACTGATGGTCTTCGCACCCCTCATGTCGTTTGTTTTCTACCCTCTCTTGAACCGATATCACATCAAGTTTGGTCCCATTACTCGTATGACAGTCGGTTACATCTCTGCCGTCATCGGAAGTGTTGTTGGTGCAATTATCCAGTGGAGGGTATATAAAACCTCACCATGTGGATACCAAGCTTCGACTTGTGACAGTGTGTCCCCCATATCTATTTGGTGGCAGCTGCCTACTGTTATGCTCGGTGCTATCGGCGAACTCTTTACTGCAGTCACAGCATACGAGATGGCATATGCCAGGGCGCCGGAAGGCATGAAGTCTACTGTTGTCGCGATCAACTTGGCTATGCAGGCTCTGTCTTCTGCCCTGGCTCAGATCTTGATTCCTTCCATCAAAGACCCCAATCTGATTGTAAGTATAACTACCCCAATCCTGGTCAATCTCTAACATAGTTTTACAGTGGGCCTGGGCCGCTCCTGGGATTGCTCTCTTCGTTCAGACAATCATCTTTTGGGTACGGCATCATCATGTCAACGATGAGAAGTTCTTGATTCGCGAGGCTTTCGAAGAAGACTACTCCTCTCAAACAGAAAAGAAAAAGGGTGATTCAAAAGATGGGGGCTCTGGGGAAGCCTAAACTTCCTTGAAATAATTCCCCTCTTCTGTAGCGAGTATATTATCTCAACTTGGGAAGGGTTTGCCGATGATGCATCGGGTCGAGCCAATACATTAACTTACTATTGCAATACAAATCGATCTCTCATTAACTTGGATTTCCCATGACTCTTCATTTGGGTATGCCTGGCTGGCTTTTTATCTACTGCAGACTAGTAGCCATCATTCGCCTCTACATACTCGTCCTGATCCAGTATACTAGAATGTACGTATATCACGTCACCAACGCACAGGACAGTTTCTAAAGACGCCTGGAGGCTATTGCATCAGCTTGTTGTTGACCATCGCCGAGTATCTGAACTCCCTGGATCTGTGCACCAGTTTCTTGCAGCTGGGCTTTATGCCTTGAGACCAGTGGTATTAGGCCCCCTGCCAAGGTATTAATTGCAAACAATTAAAGGGAAAGGTATAGAAGGCCTTGTTAGTAGCAGGGAAGCTCAGAATCGCCCTCCAAGTCAGCGTGTCCCGAATATTTTAACTGTTTAATAAAGAAGAATGCTGATTAACAGTGGAGACCAGGGCTGAAGATATCTGAATCAAGATGCAAAAAGTGAGTCCCAGTTGCTGGGCATAAGTTGATGCGGTTTATGTGGATCGAACACATGACCTTCAGATAACGATGATGAAGTGTGGCTTCAGTCTGACGCTCTCCCAACTGAGCTAAACCCGCGCCGTCTGATTATGTCATTTGCTGAGGAATCAGAATATATTCATGCAAAATCCACAAGAAAGCACCAGTTCTAATTTACGGGCAGTCTCTGGACCTTCTATGTAAATCATATAGCCTGGGAATCACTCCACGGGAGTTGTGGATAGAGATTATTTCTCTGGCGAGGAAGGCTGCTTTAAGGGTAGACGAGAAAGCGTTGGAAACTCAACATCATACAGTGACAGGCGGCTAAAGACGACTTTTTCGTACTCCAATTTATTTTTTCCCCTACAAAGTCCTTTCAATCTGAGCTATAAATGAATGTCCACTTTCCAGCCAATACACTGCACAACATCGTAAACTATGCGTCTTGTTTCTGTCCTTATTCGTTGTCTCTGACATCGATGACAGTTGACTTGAACTTCCTCGCGGGAATCTTGCGCTTGAACAAGATATCAGCCTCACGGTATGAACGATCCTTGAGCTCAGGAAGGAAGAAGTAGGCCGAGATGAAGCAAACAGCCGCAGTGCCTCCCCAGACATACCCGCACTGTCCACCAAGGTTCCATCCAGTAGGGTTCAAGAGATTCGAAGCCAGGTAGATCATAGGGATCTCGGCTACATAGTAGGCGGCACGACCGACACCAGTGCTCAGAGCACGAAGTCGGACAGACGAGGTCTCGGCGATGATCGTGTATGAGATAGGTCCGAGACACAGAGCATAGACGAAGGAGATTAATATACCGAGGACAGCTTGTACGTAATTAGTGGCAGTGCTTTGGTGAAGTGTGGCAACGATGCCGAGAATCATCAGGAAGGTGACATTGACGATTGTTCCCCAGAGGTAGATGGTACGGCGGCCCAGGAAACCGCTCATGGGAATAGCAATGATGTTGCCAATGAACTGGAGGCACGCGTTGATGATGTTAAGCTGGAACGCACGCTCGGTTGCAACACCAGCTTCTGAACTCGGAATTAGCAAAAGGGTTCCCAGGGATAAATAGACACGAGTGTACTTACGTTCAAAGAAGAATGTTGCTTGATTAGCGATCAAGTTGCCAGCAAAGTTCTGCGAGGCGTAGATCAAGCAAGTGATGATCGTTCGTCTCAAGTCGGTACCCTTGACAAGGTCGATCAGAGAAGGGCTTCGGCCCTCTGCCTCCTCAATCTTAACAGTACGCTCCATCATGGCAAGCTTCTTGTGAGATATCTCCTTGTCACCGTTTCCAAGACGCTGGATAGAGCGTAGTGCCTCCTCTTTGCGACCCTTGCGAAGCAGCCACCAGGGGGATTCAGGGGCGAAGAACACGAGAATCAAGATGGGGGTCTGTTAGGAAGATATTAGACCTAATGGATAACTGATCAACTTTGGGAATCTCTTACTGGAAAGATCCATTGCAAGGCCAAGGGCAAACGCCAGGCCCACTGATCATCTCTCTTGTTGTAGGCATACGTAGCGCCAGCAACGATCATATATCCGATAGACCAACTCACCTGCAGCGTTGCAGTGCAAGCACCACGAAGGGCAAGCGGCACGATCTCGGAAGCGTAGGCTGGGGAGTTGGCAATGAAGAAACCCCAAGGTACACCTTCGAGGGCTTGTCCGACGACAAGGAGCTCCAAAGAGTTGGACTACAGGTTTGGTTAGACGCTGGCTTGACGTTAGGGTGAGCTGACCACTTACAAAGAACGAGACGAAGATAGTGGCATTCATGAGCATCAGAGCAAAGATTGTTGTCCATCGGTAACCGAATATGTTGGTAATTGGTCCGGCAACGAAGACACCCACAAAAGCACCACACTGTCCTGCCTGGAAGAGAGCGCTCTGCCATTTTGTTTCGATCGTCCAGCCTGAACCCTCGACGTGGACTCCGTAGTGTCTCTGGAAGACAGGGAGAGCGACAAAATTTCCGGTCAGGAACATGTCGAACGACTCCATAACCTAAGTGAGCAAAATTCAGCAGCCATTCATAATTAGTACTCTTGAGATTTACTTACAATGGTGAAGCACATAACGAAGGCCCAGAAGCAAGCCCAAGGATGGGCCTTGGCAGCAGCCCAAACACCCTGCTCATGCTCGCGCTGTTCAGCATCGAAGGCATCATGCATGAGATCAGTGTTGTTCAAGACTTCCTTATGGTCGATCGCAGCATGGCCGAACTCCTCCTCCTTTGACTTGATAAATGTTTCCGACATGCTGATGACTTGTCTGCAATTGTGTCTGCCAAGATATCGATCGAGAGCCAAGAAATCCGGCGACGGTTAAGGTAATTATACATAATCTCTTAGTGCGACTCTCCGCATTCCGGGAAAGCCTATTCTCATGGAGATCGATTCGTGGGGTTGTGGAGTTCTCCGCAAGATACAGGCCAACTCGGCAATGCGGCAATGGACAGGTTCCCACCAGCTATCCACGAGCCGGATTACTCCCCGTATCGGCCTGTGTAAGGTTCTTCATTCATTTGGTCGGCAAGTATAATCATAGCCCAGCAGGATAGGTCTAAATTCTTCTTGGACAGATTTGAGCCTCTGTGGTCTGGACTCTCAACCCCGCGGGGAAGAGAGTAGAAGAGGGTAATAGAGTATTGAGGGGCATGCTCTGTGCGGGGTGGTTGAGGGACCAGCGTCAGGTGGCGCGTCTAGTGCGTCTCTCGGGCTTCTCTCCAGGAGTCCAGATCATCCTGAGAGTTCTTCGGGGGATGATTCTCAGAGGGATATATTTCCTAATATGGGTAGCATGTCTCCAGAGGTCCAGGTCATCCTGAGTTCTTCGAGAGATTAATTTTCCGAGGGATATATTTCCTAATTTGGGTAGCATGAACCGTACTATTAATTTGGCGACGAGGCCAGAGATAGCCTTCACTGGTCCTTTATCTCTTTCTTTCTAAGCTCGATATCCCCCTTTATCCCTTTCACCAATCCCTTGACTTCCGATTTGAGTGCGTTCTTGTCCTCCTTGGAGATTTTCCCGGTCTTTTTAGCCGTGTATAATTCTTGAAGAAAGCCGGTCACGATTGTGACAGCGGCTTGAACGGCGCATTTGGCACATTGATCGCCGTGCGTTAGGCTGTCAACGGCGTCGGCGAGACGTTGGAGCTCGGCTTTGGGGCGGTTTTGGAGAAGCCGGTCGAGGTGAGGGGTCTCAGACTGTCCGTGGACTTGGCAGTCGTTGGAGCTTATCGATACGGATGGAGTCTGTGTCTTGGTCTCCGAATGAACCGGTGATGAAGCCATGGTCAAGATCGAGCAGCTTGTAGTTAGATAATGATTTAGATAAATGAATAGAAGCACATAGGAAGGTCCAAACTATGTTTTGTCCCTTTTCTTTATATGCTTACAATATTTTGTGTTACTCGTCGGTATTTTACATGGCAGTGACGCAGCAAGTCTCCCCGTCCACTACCGAGATCACCGACCGGAGATTTTACAGACCGGCCGGGTTTCACAGCTGGTGTAGGGTAACAGATGTCGATGTGACTCTCAAAGGTGCAAATTCCTCCATTTTTCGTTTGAGATCGTATGCATTCTCAAGTTCCTGTCTTACAGCGTTAGAGAGGTGGTGTCCTCTGTTCTTGAGCTCATGAGTCTCGTGTTGCTGGGTGGAAACCCCGCTCTTGTTACTGAGTCGATCATGCTCACCGACCAACGATAATGAAGTCCCAAGATGTAAGCAGCGCTCGCATCAATGACACGCCTCAATCAATGATCTCAACCATCGTTCTTCGTTCATTCATGCTTGTTTATCTCTGCAGACATACTCAAGACCGATACTATAATTTCCACATTGAAACACATTTGTCTGAGATTCAGTGCCGCATAGCCAGCTCTATGACGCAGTGATTCTGTCCCAGCCAACTGCATCGTCGCTACGCCCAAATTGTAGCGCTTACCAGTCAAAATGGACTACTGATATAGTCCGTTGTCCGCTATCTACATTTCCATTGTCCGGAATGAGTGCATCTGAACAATTGAGAATTCATATTAAAGCTGGAAATAAGTGCCAAGAAACACGAGCGATGTATCGTTGATTGCAGAGTAAACCATCCGACGACTCCGTATTTTCAGCCGCTCCAACCAAATGTCAGGCCTCAAAGTCCTCGTGTCGGGAGCCTCAATCGCAGGACCTGCGACAGCTTACTGGCTTGCAAGGGCTGGGGCAAAAGTCACAGTAATTGAACGCTTTCCCGCTCTGCGTACCGGCGGACAAGCCGTCGACATTCGCACCGCTGGCGTCTCGGTCATGCGAAAGATGACTGGGTTGGAAGCTGCTGTGAGAGCCAAGTCGACGCAAGAAGAAGGGATCAGCTTTGTCCGCGAAGATGGAACGCCTTACGGAGTTATCAGACCAACCGGGGACCCGGACCAACAGTCGCTTGTCTCGGAGTACGAGATCTTACGCGGGGATTTATCCAAGATTCTGTTCGATATGACGAAGGACAACAAGAACATCAACTACATATTTGATGAGCAGATAGCGTCGGTGCAGCAGAGTGAAAAGATTGCCGGCCCTATCACAGTCACGTTTGCAAATGGTACGGAAGCCTCGGAGTACGACTTGGTGATTGCTTGCGATGGCGCGACGTCGAGGACGCGTGCATTGGGACTGGGATGTAATGTCGGCGACCACATCGTCTCAACCAACTGCTGGTCGGCCTACTTCTCGATACCCCAAGATGTCCTCAGCGGAAGCAAGATTGGACAGGGATTCAACGCCGTGAGAGGGCGGAATATCAGTATTGGAACGGATTCCGCAGGCTTCAGTCGCGTCTTGCTCATGTGCATGAACCCGAGAGGTAAGTCAGAGAGCGCGGACGCGTTTCGGGAGGCTTCAGCAAAAGGGAATGACGCGCTCAAGAAGTACATCGCGCAGCATTACAGTGACGTCGGATGGAAAAGCAATATCGCTCTCAAGGAAATGATGAATTCCGACGACTTTTACGCGAGTGAAATTGTACAGGTCAAAACACCAACATTGTCCAAGGGACGGTTTGTCTTGGTTGGCGATGCAGGATACGCAGCAGGTCTCACAGGCGGCGGAACCAGCCTCGCCCTTGCAGGCGCTTACATCCTGGCAGGAGAGCTGAGCAAACACAAGGGAGATATCACAGCTGGTGTTGAGGGTTACGAGCAGCAGATCAGGCCGCTGATCAATAAGATGCAGGTGATTCCTCCGCTGATCACGACGATTCTGGCGCCGCAGACAGCTTGGGGTATTTGGCTGCGCAACAACATTTTCGCCTTTGTCGCGTGGACGGGGCTCGTCGAGCTCACTCAGCGGTACATTGGGGCCGGCTTTGGCGATGCGAAAGCATTTCCAATTCCAGAGTATGATTGGGAGAATTGAGGATTGATCGCTGGAAATACTTTGCATAAATCTAGCAAGACTGATAAGCAAGCTCATAATGACAAGCACTGATGAAAAGGCCAACCGACGCATAAAGTCCATGCCAGGTCATGCTGTGATAAATAATTATGCACTGCACACAGACCAGCCTCTTCATTTTCCAAGTGCAAGCCAAGAGGTTGTGCACCCGCGCTCTAACAGGTTCAGGCGTTGTACGGAGAGCCATAGAGTCACGGCGTGAAATTCCCGTCTTTCGCAAGGGACACGCGTCGTGGAACCCTCTGCGTGTCGCACGCCCAACGCGTCAGCACTAACAATTCTTTTCGCGTGCGCGACGTCCAACTCTTGAATTGTTTGTGCGACTCTGTCCTTGGGCTGCCAGGGACTTGCAATCAGCTACAACCCCACCGCAGGATTCAAAGCCAATTGCCCAACACTCGCTCTTTTCTGTCATGATGCGCTAAACGTTGGTGGTCTGCCACTGAAAGACCGAGGGACTCGCGTAGAATCGACTGGCCTAGATCACTTAATGCAAAGCCTCGACCGCATCTGAGCCGCATTCGGTGAGATTGTATTTTCTTTCCTCATTATAACACAAGTCGACGATTGACATGGCACAACACATGAGCATTCAAAACAAAATTTACTGGCAAGCGACTTTATATTCTTTGGTCAATGTACTCTAGCTCCTTGCATCAAAGGACAGTAGCTGTCAATATTAACTAAGGGAATGTTGTCGCACAAACATGTGATGCCAGTGATGGAACATTGGAAATACGGGAGATCTTCCCTATAAGCTCAGCTATCCGAAATCCAATTGACAATAAGGAAATTCTTGCTTGATGTGTTATATTTTTACGATTGACGCGGGCTTTTGACAAGCTTAAGCAGTATCAGCATCGTAGTTCTCGTCATCAAATGAGGGATCGTCCGAGTTGAGAGGAGCATCAGCATTAGCAGTGCCGGTACCCGCAGGGACGACAGTAGTTGAAGAGGAAGCGACCGATGATGTAGCTGCTGATCCAGTCGCAGTGGTGGTCGCCGCGCTGGTTGGGATACCGGTAGGGACACTGGTAGGCACAGCAGTGGCGCTGGCGGATGATATACAGGCAGTTCGGTCAGAAGCGCAAGATGTCTGAGTAGAGCCCGACTTTCTGCGGCAGACGTAGTAGGCATAGTTGCATCGTCGGATGGCCTGCTCGTTTCTCCACCACTGGGCAAGACCAGAGACGGAGGGTCGAGAAAAGGTGCGGGTGGGAGGACCGCCAGCACTTGACACTGTCGTAGTAGCTGTCTGAGCTGATGTGGCCGAGCCGGTAGTAGAAGATCCACCCTTGATGCATGCTGCGTAGCTGGAAGCGCATGCCGATTGGTTGGATGAGTTGGTGATCAAGCAGTTGTTGTAAGTGCTGATGCACTTGTTGGCGTTGGAGTCTCTGAAGAGCCAGGTTGGCAGGAAGGGCAGAGAAGACATGGCTCCTCGGCCGGGAGCAGCGGTTGTAGAAGATGCAGCAGCAGCAGTGGTGGTGCTGCTGGGCTTTCCACCGCCCCGTCCGTTTTGAGGATGGGCTGCGACAGAGACTGCAAGGGCAGCGGTGATGAGCTGAAGAGTGGCCTTCATGTTGTAGTAAGTGTTGATTGCTTTGTAAGTGTATAAGTTGAGTTGTTCAAGGAATGGTTGTGAAACAAATATTGTTGTTCCAGTTAAATGTCAAAGAGCTTTTGAGTGTGAGTGAGTGACTGCATAAGTGCATTCCCAGGGAACTGAGAGGGAGTTATATACTATTATCCTCATGCCATCAATTCATAGCCATCAATCTCTGCACTCGAGTCCAGACTTGACGATACCTGACGTAGCGTCAATCTTTGCACGTTCAGGTACCACTTTGTGGCTTGCTCTCATTCCCGTCGGCAGCCACGACGCCACTGGCCTTGAACCTTATCGACGAATATGCAAGGTCCGGATGTTGGACATTTAGAGTTTCGGGTGATTACCACTCTGCATACTTTGATGGTTCCTGAATCCATGACCGATCAACGTAAATAGACTCGTGGCGGAATTCCTCAGTGCCTTTTCAGGGACAAGTTTGCTTAGTCTCTTCGCTTTCCGGACCTGTTTCTCAAATACAGGACCCTCGATCTCAGGACCCCTCATTCCATAGCCGGGGCAAACAAGGCCTCGATTGGGTTTTGAGTAGAATGATCGATGATGAACTGAAGATCTCTGTTGGTATTGCGTAGTTGGATGACCGATTTACCCTCAACTACATCATCACCATGTTGCATCAAGTTCCCGAAATGCCTGGATCTCAGCTGCATTGACCTCATATCTTGCCACCAATGTGATTGTCGATGACACACTTATGTCATTTGCAGATCCTTTACTCTTATCTGCTACGCTGCTGCAGAGTGCTGCTGCAGAGTGCTGCTCTTGATGGCTTCCTCCGTAATAGACCAGATGATTACAGAGACAGCCCCCACCAGGTCCAAATGTCGGTCCAACCCGACAGGGCCAGTCGGGAATATGGAATAGCCGAGACATATCGACAGCTCTGGGCCAAACTAGACTCGATCTATTCCCGCCTCAATTCCATTTCCGTCTTCGGGCTCTCACAAGTTGGTGCCGAAACAGGTTAGAAGAGACTGCCATCCACCAACTCCCAATATTTGCAGTTCTCACTGCCTGTAGCCGACAGGGCGCCTCCAAGCTGTCGGAAGTGTCTCGGGTAGGTTGCCTCGCCTGACCTTGGTCTTCTCTCTCTGCTTGAGAAACTTCAGAAGTGATGTGCTGCGTCAGTGTTGCCTCTAGTGAATTCACAATGCGACAAAGTCTGTAGTATCAGATCGATGCTTACATTTGACCATAGCAATCACAGAGACAACTATCTAGACAGTGATAATCTGATTATTAACTTGCGATGAGGGTTCTTTGTTGCCATGACTCTGATACACACAGAGCAGCAGGTAGGGCGGACCATGATATCAATTGTCCCGTGTAGATGCCCCAGTATTACACTCACATCACCCCAAAGGCTCAACCTGATAAACGAAAGATAGCAGGCATTGGAATTGAAGATTTGCTACATTAAGTATGCTCGAGATCCTTCCTTGTGACCACTTCCGGAAAATCTGGCGCATTGGAATATGGCAAAGCTCAGCCAACTCGAACCTAGAGACAACCTGTTAACCCACTACCTCGTACGACTCAAGAACTAATGTCGAGTTCGATGACCCGATAAACAATATGCTCTCTACTCTTGCTCCAACCTGAGTCTCCTGGAATGCAGAAACTCATAGTCTGGCATAGCGTCTCTCACCCATCGCTCAAGCTTTTGCGCCCCTTCTTCACCAAACTCAGCCTTCCACTTGACTGCCTCCTGATCAATATCAACTTTCCCAGCGACTTTACTCTGGTCAATAGTGGTACTGGCGTTGATAGAGCTAAGCATCCTTTGCTCCATTTGGCTCAGCTTGTTCAGCTCTCCCTCCCCTGCCTTGTCCCACGAGTAGCGGACTTTACTCTCATCAAGACCAGTAAGCTGCGCATACTTGCCTACAAGCTGAGGACATGTCATGACATCGTCGGCGTCAATGACGATAGGCCAGATGCTATCATTGGCAAAGTGCTCGGAGTAAAAGTCATACAACGTTCGATGCCACCTCGTAGTGACCTCTGCTGCCATGGGTTCCTTTCTGGGGCGCTTGAAGCCCTCCCACTCCATCTTGCCAAAACATGTGCGGTACAGAGAGGGGATCATTAGAGCGGGATGGCGGATGAGGAAGGTTGGATTCCAAGTCTTGAGAAACTCATCTGGAAATAGAGTGAGATTGAGAGGTGATCGTGTTGGTTGAGTGATGTCCAACATGGGAAGCGGTGTCGCCTCTTTCTGGGATCCAGTTGAACCGTTGACATAACTGTCTTCGCAACGAGGATGGTTCAACATGATAGAGTGTTCCTTGACATAAATCGTCTGACCTTCCTTCTCAGCCGCAGCGATATAATCTTGGAATCTTTCAGAGCATTCCTGGATAACCTTGTTCACTGTCGCACTCTCTTCTTCCGTCCATGTGTCCATGGGCTTCTCAGCTACCAAGAAGTGCTTGGGCAAAGATGGAAGGAAGAAGTATCCTCCGTGGGTGGCAGGGCGTACGTTCTGCTCGCCGAGGTTGAGCATTTTGACCAACAGGTTGGAGGCCGTACGAGGAGACGTAAGAAGCCAGTATCGAGGGCGTTGAGGAGAGTTTGCGCCTTTAGCCATCTTGAGTGATGTTGCTTAATAAATTCTTGAACTGGCGAGCTAAGTTGAGCAGCTGAAGCTTAGAGAACAAGATGTATTTGGCACTGATATAATAATATGAGAACCTGGCCAGAGGATTCAAACCAGGTTGACTGGACCATTGATGAAGTACTTATAGCAAGTCGAACTGGAAGAGAACTGGCATTCGCCTGCTTTCTGATGTCACAGGTACATACAAGGGTGTTTTTCGGTTGTCGGTCGCTTGGCTCGTCGCTCCGGGCCGTCGCCATGCATACAAGGTGGTGCCAAGTGGGTTCAAACTTGAAACCGGCATTGGTTGATAACTCAAGACATTCATGCGAGATACTTCTACGGCAATTTCAAAATGTCCGATCCGGATGTGTAAGCGGAGGATTCGTTCCCTGTCAAGATCTTCATCGTAGTCTAGTTTAAAGAGAAGATACGCGAAACTCAGTCGTTTGTGTTCCGTAACACGAGCAACAGCAGGCCTCGTCTGGTCAAAGGTCTTATTCCTTATGCTGTCCTACACACCATATTGTCAGGGGCAAGGCAAAGTGAAAGACAAACTTTCTGTTCTCCAAATATCAGGCACAGCGCCATCATCTGCTGCGAATATTCGGAACTTTCAAGTGCGAACCTCCAGGCCGTTATGTAATGATCGGCAGTGTTATGCAGATACGGTTAAGGATGACTCCACTTCGCCAGCAACCCTCGAGTCAAGCAGACCGTATCGCGTAGCATTCCAAAGAGCGACTTCCGAAAAATCGTTCACGAGTCCAGGGAAGATTGCCGGCCGAGTGCCGCACCGCTCTTATCATATATGACCTCGCGCAATAACGGCCATTTCCAAAGGCCGAAGACTGAGAGAAGCCCGAGTTTGGTGACTTCATCATATCATGCGCAACCGAAAATCTCTCCTTGTCTCGATACATATCTTGTATAGCTTTGAGTGCTGTCGGTGCAAGTATATAATATCTCGGGAGGCTGAGTTTATTTTTTGCACCAATCGAACCGCAATTTAAACGAGAGAAGAGGAATCGTTATTATCTCTGACGTAGCCATGCCTGTTTGAGTTACAGGTAGAGTCTCGAGCATTGACAATAAGAATTTCCTCTCATTGTCACATCACCATCTCGAGACATGTTGAATGCTGAACACTTGAATCTTGAGTACAACACGTACTGCAAGAACTATTATGGTAATCGGACTCTTTAGTAGAAGATGCCGGGCACAACATGATGTTCTGTAGAGTCCTTGGAGACTTGATGTTTCAGTGGTCTCTGGGGCGTACTGAGGAACTCAAAGCGAAGGATGCTACATATATTATGTTGGTCTGAAGCCTTGGATCTCTCATCAAGGAGAGACGCTTCCATCAGAACTTGATATCTCATGCATAGTAACACCTCATCCATTGCTCTGTCTACTAGATTCTTCGACCTACGGTAGCTGACAGGTTCGATTTTGTCTTTATCCGCACTTGTATGGAAAGAGTATGGAAAGAGTGTCATACCTCTGAAGTTCACGTCGCGGCAAAGCGGTCTGTAGAGTATAGAAAAAAAATAAAGACCAATTCAATTTATAGAAATTGCCTGCAGTTTGTCATGAATATATTATTGAAAGCTGTATGGATGATTGCCGCCTATAAGGTGAAGCTTTAGACTGCGAGCACAATATTATTGGAAGCATAAACGCGCTTTTGGCCTTCTGATCCTTGCATGGATCGCTATTACTATGCAATTTGTGGAACTAGTACCCTAATCTTACATTGGCTAATTACCAAATACCGTACTCCGTAGTTAGGTTCGTTTCACAGCTGCATGGCATGCCAATTCCATGAACCCTAATCTCACGTCAGCTGTTGCTGCTCCGCCTCTTGCATGAATAGTTCTCGTTTCATTGTGCACCAATTTTGGAACCTTCATCTCTCTTTAAATATTCCTAGTACGAAAAATAAATTCTTTGAACAACATTCAAGTCACAATGGCTTCCCCAACTTATGACTACATTGTTGTTGGAGGTGGCCTTGCAGGCTGCGTTCTCTCTAGTCGCATTCGAGAGTACGATGGTGCAGCTAATATCCTTCTCATTGAAGCAGGAAAAGAAACACGTGGCCGCTCGGATGTGCATAATATGCAAGTTTTGAACCTAGGCGGCGAACTGGACTGGCAGTATCAGTCAGAGCCCGTTGAAGCACTTATGGGACGACGGATCACCCTCAACGCCGGAAAGGGTCTGGGCGGCAGCTCAGCTATTAACTCAGGTGAGTGAATGATTTTTGAACAGTAGGTGAAGTCGTTGAGTAACGGTTATGGTGTGCAGGTGGCTGGACTCGTGGTGCTGCAGCAGACTACGACGAGTGGGCAGCCCTCGTTGGTGATGACCGCTACAGCTACAAGGGCCAACTACCATGGTTCAGGAAGTCCGAGCTCTGGTTCGATGATAAGAACCCGGAACAGCACGGCAGAGATGGGCCCATCCGTGTAACTTGCGCCGAGGCATCCAATCGCGTGTTCCCTCTCGCTGAGAAAGCCGCGGCTGGATGGGAAGAGCTTGGCGTTTCAACACTGCCAGACGGCGACCAGAACAGTGGGAATAACCTCGGGCGCGCTTACATCTGTGAGGCGAGATCTGATGGTAAACGCGAGTGGTCTGCCAATCAGTATTCATTGGATGGAGTCCAAGTTCGTGTCGAGACTTTTGTGAACCGTATCGTCATTCAGAAAATCGATGGGAATCTCAAAGCAACTGGTGTTGAGCTGGCCGATGGTAGCGTTGTCAATGGCCAGAACATCATAATCTCCGCTGGTGCATTCCGCTCTCCTCAGATCCTTCAGCTCTCTGGTATCGGCCCGAAACCCCATCTTCAAGAGTTTGGCATTGAGCCACTCGTCGATCTTCCCGAGGTTGGCAAGAACCTATCCGACCATGTGATATTCTTCCAGCACTGGCGGCTACGTGATCCTTCTGCTGGGCATACTATTGGGTCTGCCAATCCTCTGTTTCAACAACCTCAATACTCGCAAGGTGTGCCCTTTGACTGGATCGTCAATACCAGAATTCCAAAAGAGGGCCTCGCTAAAGCTATTGAGAGAGACGAAGGAACAGAACCGCGTGAATCGGAGCATGTTCTTCTTGCGAAAGACAGAACATTTGTCGAGAACATTATCATGTTTGCTAAGCTTCCGTTTCCCGGTGTCACCAAGGATGCAGAGCATATTACTAGCGCGTTGGTAAGCTTTCTGCCAACCTCGAGAGGCTCTGTGTCATTGAAGTCTGGGAAGCCTGGCGAACATCCAAAGGGTGAGTAATCTTTTTCGGTCTTGTGATATTTTGCATGTTCGTGTTACTAAATGCAGGCAGTGAATCTCAACTATCTCTCCACCGAGGTTGACAAGCATGTCTTCCGAGAAGGATTGCGCCAGTTGACGAGATTCATGCTGAAGCCCAAATTCAGTGATCAGATTATTGGAGAATCTATCCCCGAAGGACTTAACGTGGAAGCTCTTGCACTGGATGATAGTGATGATAAGTTGGATCAGAGGATAGCTATGACTGGCGGCACCTCGTGGCATCCTTCTGGCACTTGCTCCATGGGGAAAGTGGTTGACACAGAGTTTCACGTTGCAGGCGTTGAAGGACTTCGGGTTGTTGACGCATCAGTCTTTCCTGTCCCACTGAGCGCACATCTTCAAGCCCCCCTCTATGCTCTTTCGGAGCAGGCAGCAGCTATCATCACTGGGAAGGTATAGCCAACCGTAAAATTGGCTGGCAGTATAGAAGCGACTGACAGAGGATGGATTACACATGAAGCTTGGAACATGATCTGAGAATTGTGAGGCCAAAGTTGGGCATATGATATTTCCTGGGCATGGCATATTTACGTGACTCCGTAACTGCACTTGGTGTAATCATAATTTTCTGCTATTACCGGCTAAGTGAATTCCCATCTCGTCATTGCTTTGATATTGATGGGAAGCCTGTGCCTCTGCAGAATCTGTAATAATTGAGCTTCGTAGAAAGGGCCATGGAATCCTCACCTGCGCACCATCTCCAAGGTGGCCCATACCCCTATTTTGAGTGGTGAAAGATTGCAGGATGCATTGAAGAGTTGCTGGTCATGTATTCCTTACCTGTCTTGTTTCCGACCAGCGTGATGTCCCGCATGGACAGCCCCCCATGTTAGAGACGTCATTGCTGTGCCGCGGATAAGATATGGGGCGATCTGAATCCATGTACATTTGCCTTTCTATTTTGTCCTCGAACCTTTCTTCTGACCTCATTGAGCCTTGGTTGGGCTGGCCAACTACTCAAGTCTTTGACGTTGTGTCGGATCTTTATAAACCGAAGAATAGAGCAGAGGTGTACCGTGGGGGAAGAGGGAAGGGGAATTGAGGGCAGGCTCTTTTGTGAAGATATAGGAGACATTTGCATCGAATTTGCGATATCTTTGGTAAGAACTAGGGAGAATTTATGCAATCTTTAAAAAAATTCTTTTGTTAACTTTGCATGTATTAATCTGTTTACGTGGGAAAGATCGTCGTGCCACCCACCAAACGGGCTGGAGGTGCTCGGGGTAATGATGCCCGATAAGTAGAATCGGTCCCTTCTACCCCGGACTTTGGGGGCGTTGTTATGGTATAGTTTCCTGCTGTCCATGAACCCCCGCTGTTTAAATGAGAGATTCCGCCGTTGGTAACACAACTCCTGCTGTTGGCGAGACGACACCTGCTGTCATGTAGGTAGTAAGAGCAAACTTATTCCAAGGAGATGGGATCAAAGTGAGATCTTACACGTAATATTCCTTCTCCATAAGACGAAACCGCCATTATGTCAGCCTCAAGGTTATTATGTTGGCTCTTGATGCCGATTTTCACGTTGGCGGTTATTGACAGGTAACGTCATCTCTGGGGAATGCTTGCATCCCACTGACTTCAAAGAAAACGAGTCGTGACGGGGAACAATATCGTCCGCAAAGGGCTGATCACCAATGAAACGACGCCTCTGCAGGTTGGAAACGGTAACTTTGCGTTCAGTGTTGATACGACAGGAATGCAAACATACCTCCCTTTCAACACAATGTCACGCTGGGCATGGCATAATGACACTGAACCAGCTGGAGAGTAAGTTGAAACCACCTAGAACGCGAATTGCTTCGGCAGCTAATTACCAGTAGCCCAATAGACGCATATACCGGCATACAGAGACAGACCCATGGTGGAAACGTTTCCTATGATCTACCCGACCCAAATCTTCCTGATGTTTCTCAATGGCTCATTGGAAATCCAAACCGTGTCAATCTTGGACGCATTGGATTGCGGTTCAAGAACGATACACTGTCATCAAGCAACATATTTGATACCCATCAGGAGCTAGACCTCTGGCATGGAGCCATCACATCAACTTTCACGATCGATGGCGTTGAGGTCAAGGTTGTCACGCAAGGCGACTTTGATTCAGACGCAGTTGTTTTCACCATTGACTCACAATTGATCGAGTCAGGAAAGCTCAAGGTCGAGCTCGACTTTCCATACCCTCCAATCCATACAGCAAAGTACAAGAACGAAGTTTTTGTTGGTGCCTATGACTTCCCAACCAATCATTCTACAAAGCTTTCAGTCAACCTCAAAGGTAATACAGCACACATCTATCATGACATGGGCAACAAGTACTACGTGAACCTTCGTTGGCCCAAAAAAGCTTCACTGGGACTGAAACGCCTCGGCCTGCAGGGCTCTACCAAGCCCACAGCTCATCGATATGTCCTATCATCGAGACACGGAACGACCATTTCTTTCGTGGCGCACTTCTCTCCAGACAAGAGAGTACCCGACCTGCCATCTACTATTGATAAACGTAGCAGAGCTGGATGGCAAGACTACTGGAATTCAGGTGGTTTTGTCGATTTGACAGAGTCCACGAACCCCAACGCTACTGAGCTTCAACGTCGAATCATCACCTCCCAGTACCATGTCAGAGTTAACAGTGCTGCCGATGGTGAGCCTCCTCAGGAGAGCGGCTTGATGAACAACGGTTGGTATGGTAAGTGCAGATTGACTTATTTACATGGTAACTTACTGACCAAAGTAGGTAAGTTTCACATGGAGATGGTTGTATGGCACAGCGCTCACTGGATCTCATGGGGCCGAGATCGATACTTTCACAACATCTTCCCTGCGATATATGAGAAGCTTCTACCTACATCACTCATCAGAGCGAAGAAGATGGGATGGGAGGGAGCGCGTTGGCCAAAGATGACCGAAGCCATCACCGGTCGAAGTTCGCCTGGCGGGATCAACGCATATCTGATGTGGCAGCAGCCGCACCCAATGTATATGGCCATGCTTGCTTTCAAGAGTAAGTCGACGAAGAAGACGTTGAAGCGCTGGGACCCGATCGTGGAGGCGACCGCGGATTACATGGCATCCTACGCATGGTTCAACCAGTCGTCTGGCAGATATGATCTAGGTCCACCGTAAGTGATCAGCTACCTGAGCAAGAGCACGAACGCCGTTCTGATAACATGGTAGTGCAATTGGTGTCACTGAAAACACGCCCCCGGAGAACACCCTCGATCTTGCTTACGAAGTTGCATACTGGAGATACGGCCTTGACGTCGCCTGCGAGTGGAAGCAGAAACTCGGCTTACCTGTACCTGAGCACTGGGTGACTGTTGCAAAGAACATGGCGAAGCCTCCTCAGATTGGCGGACTATATGCGGTGTACGAGGGTCTCAACTCGAGCTGGTGGGATGACCCAGCACTCAACCGAGACCCGAGAAGTTTGATCATGCTGCAAGGTATTCTACCTGACACACCTGCAGTGGACAAGGAGGTCGCTCGACGAACGGCGAATAAGGTCTGGGACGTATGGACTGACCAAAACATCCGGGGATGGGGACGTCCTGTACTGGCAATCAACTCGGCTCGCATTGGGAATCCTGAGCGCGCGATATATCACTTGACAGCATACGATTACTGGAAGTTTGATGACGCAGGTAAGTGAGGTCGCATGTTTCATCGAAATGGGGTAGGACGAGACTGAGTCATCTCACTGTAGGATTTGCCATTCGTGGTGGTGACGGAAACACACCACCCCCATTTATGCCTGGCAATGCTGGGTTCCTCTTAGCCGGTAGGTTTGCATGGTTCTTGAGGAAAAGATTGGCGCTCACTGAGAATGTCCACAGTGGCGTACATGGCTAAAGGATGGGACGGATCGAAGCGCGATGCGCCTGGGTTTCCTGAAGATGACGGGTGGGTAGTTAGGCATGAGGGGCTTCGCAAGGCGCTGTGAGATATGGTATGGCTCTGTTTGGATCATCTTCGATCGAGCCCTCAAGTTCTACCAGTAGAGAGAGACATGCTTGTGCTCCTCTGGTGTTCTCTCCCTAGCGTACCTCGACTCTATGCTTTTCCAGGCGAGGCTTCACCTGGTTCGAGCTGACAGGTGACACATGCCTGACTCTAATGACATTGCATTTGGTGGTGCCTCAGAAATTACCATTCAGAATCGTTGCTAACATCATTAAAAGGGTTTGAGCATCGCCCTAAGTGAACGATCCGCGACGAAGGAATTGTTGCGGGCGGCAATAAGAAAGCTTCTATCAACCCCGCTTCCTTCGTGGCATTTGTAGAGCAAGCTTCCATCGTAGGATCACCCTAACAGCGCCAGCGCCATATTAAAAGACGCCCGTTCAGTGCAAAAACCCTGCAAATCATTCCCTTTTTTTCTTTGCCGGCACATCTTTACCCGCAAAAGAGGGGTGTAAGCTGAGTCAGATGCATCGCAGTCTCAAGCATGATAGGGCCCAGCTTATCTTTTACGAGCCCGTGGTTGGTTTGGGGCTCGGACTGAGGTCCTCGGACTCGGAGAGTGGCTCAAGCTATGAGCTCTGGTCTCTTTTGAGTAAGTTGTAATGTGCAGATAAATTTCCGAGACATCCATCTACGGACTGCAGTGAGTTCCTACAGTCCGGCACAGGTACTGCTGCTTGATAGACAATGTTTCGTATATCTGATATTAGTTCATCGATTGACAGGACGAAGCTGTTCCAATACGTGGCCATCTTCTTCGTTTCTTTCAAGTTAATTACATATCTACAGCGACTCTTCTTCCACCCGCTATCCAAATTCCCGGGTCCAAGGATCTGCGCGGTGTCACGACTGTATGAATTCTACTGGGACTCGTACCAACATGGCCGCTTGTGGGCAAAGCTACCTGATCTTCACAGGCGCTATGGTATGACATTGTTTCATTCGCTAGACATTCTCTGACAAGCATCCAGGGCCCATTATTCGAATTGGACCAAATGAAGTTCATATCGAAGACTCCGAGTACTTCGATACAATCTTCGGATTTCGCCCGTTGAATAAAGAGGCCATGACAGCGAAAGAGTTTGGGATCAACCATGCTCTATTCGGGGTTGAGGATTACAAGACCTACGTCAAGAAGCGTGCTGCATTTGGGAATGCGTTTTCTCGAACAAAGCTTTCCAAGATACAGGACCAAATTAACGAAGAGATCCAAAAAGGATGCATTTGGGTTGAGGATAATAGCAAGGATGGAGGTCCTGTTGATCTGGCGTACGTTTATCCTGACCTGCGCAATATGATCGCTAACGTCGCCCAAGCTTCTTGTTTCGGGCTGTTCCAGCAGAAATCATAACCAAGTATCTTTTCGGCCAAGAATATGGGTTTCTGCAGCATGTGCAGACCACCAAGAACCTTTACGATAAAAGGATGGACAGATTGTTCGGGTTCTCACATCTGGGTCGATTTATACCCAAAGAGATCCCTCTTTTCCTGTCTCTCTTCCGTCAGTTGATCTTGAGGGCTCTGGGGTTCAACGACCCAGGTTCTGCATTTCTTGATTATTTCTTGGTACGTATCGTGAAACTCTAAAGGATCACAGACTGACGTTATGATAGCTCGCTCAGAAGTTGGTGCAAAAGGTCGTGGCTCAACACAACCACTCGAATGAAAATTCTGAGAGCATCCCGCAACATACCGTGTTTGATGACTTTCTAGATAGCTCATTACCTCAAGAGGAAAAGGAAAAGGGCCCTCTCACTCAGCAAGCAGTGGCTATCTGGAGTGGGGGATGGGACACGGTTGGATTTGTGCTGACCATGGCGGCATACCAATTACTCCAGAATCCAGAAGTTGAGCAGCGCCTCTACCAGGAACTCAAGGAGTCCTGGAAAGACCCTACTGAGTCCCCTGAGATCACAACTCTGGAAGGCCTACCATACCTTACTGCTGTGGTCAAGGAAACGTTTCGTCTCTCGCCCGGTGCGCTCTGCCGGCTGAGTCGCGTCAACCCTAGCGGCATCGAACGATACGGCGACTGGGAAATACCCCCGGGCACAATCATCAGCATGTCTATTCCGGATGTTCTCTCAGATACGGCAATCTGGGGTTCTGATGCTTCTATTTTCAAGCCTGAAAGATGGCTGAGTGGAGGTGCGGACCTCGACAGATACCTAGTGACTTTCAGCAAAGGAACACGAGTTTGTCCAGGAATTGAGTTGGCATGGATCGAGACCCGGCTTGTCATTGCGAGCCTTTTCCGAAGGTATGAGATGAGCATCACACCAGAGGCCGGCATATCTGATGATGATATCATGCCGTATTACGAAGGGTTCACGCCTGCAGTCAAGAATTGGATATCTCGACTGCCGGTCAGGGTGAAGCCTAGATATTAGATTCTATGCCGAGAGTTGCCGAAAATGGTGTGTGGCTGTTGTACGGCATCATAGCTCTTACCAAGCATCCCAATCCTTGGAACACAATGTGCCTAGCCTTTGCCGATCTATTTCTCGTTTGTTTTCGTATTGTCAGCACTAAATCCGACTTGTTGCTTGTTGAAGGCTGTTGCAGTGGCATGCATGAGACGCTAGAGATTAACCTTGTCTGATAAGTCTGTCCTTTAGCCCAAAATGAATCAGGGACCCCACTACAGGTCTCATTCTCGGCCATTCGAAGACGTCTCGGTGCCGCATACCCGTCTTTCAGGGCTGATAGCGGCCTCCACTAATAAGCACTTGAGGCTGCAGTGAAAACCGACTTCGTTCCCCTCAAAGATCAGATTGTCAGCTTCAAAATTCACTTCATCCTCATCATGCCAAACAGCGGACGCGGTCGAGGTGGATTATTCCAGCGCGGTGGTCAAGGTGGTCGAGGCGGGGGCTTAATAGGGTCCGCTGTCCGTGGCGTAGCAGGCGGTATTGGGCTCGTGTCGGAGAGCGTTAGCTCTTACAAAGAGAAGAGAGCAGCGGAGAAAACCCCCGCATCCTCAGAGTCAAGCCAACAGCCTCAATCAAGCGGCATTGTTGTCGGAAACGAGCCGGCGCCAAACTGTGAGCCTCAGTCAAGCCAGCCCGAGGACTCGACTGAAAGACAATGGGAGCTCGACGAAACACAATCTGAGCTACTCTCGAGTCCCCAAGACGGTGCCGACACCGCTCAACAGACTCAAGTTGACAAGGATCTTGTGGCCAGCTTTTTGAGGGTGCATGGCGCTTCATCTAGCCGAACCAATGCTCAATTGGAGTTGCCAGTCATTCTCGCGCAGCGGAGACCAAAAGACCGAACCCGTGGCTTCGTTCGGGGATTTGCTCCGATGCTCGAGACTGTCGGCATTGACCAGGCGGCATGGCTAGACTTTCTAGATAAATTCGACCAGTCTACTCGAGCCTCGCCTTGGATCGAGGTAATCAATTTTGCAGAATTGGGCGGTTTCTTTGTACCGATTGCGCCAAGCATCGCCATTAGTGCAGCCGTGTACAAAACAATTGAGGTTGCGAAAGATGTCCAAGGCAGACAAAGGTAAAATTCTCTATCAAAGCGCCGCCCCATCTCAAGCAGAAGCTCACCAAGAACGCAGGTCAAACAAGTTCATTTCTCAGATGAATGAGAAATACTTCTATCCAAAGGGCTTATGCTGTTTGATCATGACCTGGCGACCCGATTCTGGGAAGTCTCACGAGGTTGTTGACCTGACATCAACAGTCGCTTCTTCCATTGGATCGTATGACTCTTCATTCACCAACAAGTTTAAAACCTCCAGCGGAAAGACCTATGGTGATTTTGCTCTCCCCGAAGCTGCTCCTCTCATCTTTCCGACCCTCGATGTCCTTGCTGAGGCTGATAATGAGGAATCGAAGGGTTTGAAGCAGAGCCTGGGCGAGAAGAGAACATACATCCAGGAGTACTATGACAAGAGGGCTCAGGCTCAGTTCGTAAGTCATTGAAGTTAATAGCTGATAAGAGTTTTCACTAAACCCGACTACAGGCGCTCAATAGCCCGGATAACCTCTTGGCCAACCAGCAAGAAGCTCCAAAGTTCTCTTCACGATATGCTGATCCCAGTCATCCTTCTAACAATGGCTCCTTAATCTCCCTACTCACTGGCGGATATGTCGACCCAACGAAGCTGCGCCGGGGCTTTAGGGGCCAAGCACCAGAGGGCCAGAACCAAGGACAAGCCAGTGGAGCACGAAGTGATAGACAGCCCGGTCTGCCAGTGCCTTACAAGCCGGTCAAGGCGGCAAGGAAATTTCTTTTTAAAAAGGTAACTATATCTTGCGCCTCCCAAAGACTCCAAAAGTGGTAGTTAACTTGTATAGGACATTTTGTATTTAATGGTCGTCAACATGCCCAGTGAGGATGAGCTCCGGGAGGCCCAGGCTGCATTGGACCGCAGATAAAGGATTTCTGTATTCAAGAGCGACAAGCTTTTGCCAAATACAGGCTAAGTCCATAGCAATCTGGCAAATTTTCTGGACTGAGCGACTCGCGGCTCCTGGGCAATCTGCGCAGCTCGAGCGATGCTACAAGCACGCATATTGGCCTCTCCTCAACTTATACCTCAGCCTAGGGCTTGCAATAAGACTTATTGGTCATCGTGAAAGCTTCTAGGTAAAAGCTTATATCGGGGGGGGGGGATATCGTGTTGTCATTCATCAACTGTGTTTGCAGCTTAAAGCTTAACCTTATAGGCCATCCTCATCCATTTTACCTCAGATACAGATCGAGCTGTCACAAACAATAGTGGTTCCAGGACCAAGTGAAAGTTCAATTAAAATATTATTAAAAGCTCCGCCTCCCAACTGTGATTGCTTCACGATCCTATCTATAAGCTCAACCCTCCTACGTATCATGCACAATTTAGGGCTTAACAGCTTGCAAGTGCGACTGCGCCAAGTTCGTGAAGAAACTGGCACCGAGAACCTTGCTTGGAGTGGCAGGGTCAGTTGCATTGCAAAGCTTGACAAAGTTGCCGTTCTTCCTGAGTCTGTCCTTGGTAAACTTGGAGTACTTGGACAGAGAGCATGACTTTCCAGGCCCATCCTGGCAAGATGGCACAGGGTAAACGACATCGTTGATCAGGATTCGAACAAACTTCTTGGAGCCGTAAGCCTTGTTGGAACCGCAGCTGAGACGCTCAAATGCGATGGTACCTCTCATGGGAGAGATGTTGGAACTGCGCCAGATACGGTCCTTGGGAATATGATCCAGAGGAAGAGGAGCTTGCTTGTCAAAGACTCCAGTTGCAACAGCCAACTCGTTCAGCTGGCCGTCATTCAAGAAGCTCATAAGGATCTTGGGGAGCTTGAAAGGCTGTCCATCAAAGTTCTTACCCGTGGTATCAGGGCCAGCCACGAAACGCTCGATCAGTGACTCAAGGAAAGGCACCATCATTTTTGAAGCAACCTTGGTGGCAGGTCCAACACCGTAGTAGTATCTGAGATCTTGCTGATACTCATATGCTTCCAGCTCCTTCTGAGTGAAGGTGTCGCAGAATGGCGACAGCTTACCCGTGATTTGCGACTCAAAACCACAGACGTATGGGAAGTCATTCCATGTCGAGTCGTCAAGCTGAAGGTCGCCCTTGATGTATTTGGACAGGCGCTTCTTGAAACCTGGAAGCCATCGCTGACGCCATTCGTCCTGCTGCTTGCTGCTGTCATCCACGAAGGTAGGGCACATATCAGATGGAGCAAGTGTGTCGCCCAGGTGAGAAGGGACGCCTTTGCCGGTCACGGAAACGACTGTTCCTAGGGAAGAGTTGGTTCCAAGAAACCCGTGAAGGAAGAGCTTTGCGGTCTGGAGAACTCTTGTGTAGTTGTTGGCCCACACAATGAAGTTCTCGCCCTCCTGGTACAGCTCAGGGTATCTTTTTGAGTCAGTCAAGTTCTCAAAAGCTGACAAGGCAGAGCTCTTACCTGGTTCTGATGGTGTAACCCATGTCAAAGAGCTCCTTGTATCCAGTCTTGCTTAGCTGAGCGATCTGGATCTCAGGGTTGGTAAGAGGGCTCTCCCAAGTGTGAATAAAAGAGAGTGGTCCCGTTGCGGTGTACTTGGACTCTCGGAACTAAATTGTTTGTCAGATGTTTCCTTGATCAAAACTGCTGATCATGTCTTACACGGCGAGCCATCTCGAGCCATCCATTGTGAGCACCCTGGTCAGGATAGCGGGATCCGTGGCGTGACACGTAGGCAGCTTGGTCGACCTGGCATCCCTCAGGGACCGCTGAGGATATTTTGGTCAAGTCCTCGCCTGGATCCGTTAGACGAAAGACCATCTCCAGTCTGATGACACTTACCAATGTGCCATGGGCCGTTGGCTCCAACATGGGCCAGAGGGTTCTTTGCCGAAGCGCCATCGGGCAATAGAACAGCTTGGATGGGATCAAGCGAAGTGCCGACTCCTGCGCTGCGTGCGGAGCATGTTGAGCCTAGCAGGGCGACAGCAACAAGTGGGCCTCTCATATTGCTTCTATTGATGGATCAAAGTCTTTAAGAACGAGCGCACAGATAGACAATCAAAGAGGAAAGCTGAACGTTCATCAATGGCGAGAAATATATAGAACTACGACAGCCCTTGCTCGACCCGGAAATTGAACTCCAATTCTGTATAGACTAAATGTCATCCAGACTCTCTATTTCCGCCCTTCCGCTCGACGTCAATTGAGATCTATCAACTGCGCCGCGATAGCGAACGGGCCTAGCAGGGGATAGCACGGCACGTGTTCTCTGGGGAATAACTTATTCGGTCGCATAATGCTAAGAAGCTTGGTATCCATCGACGCATTGGTGGAAAAGTCAAACCCTCGGTAAAGACGGACCAATTGCCAGATTTGGAAATGCTTCAAAAGTTGTAGTAGGCCAGTAAAACAAAGGAATCAATCTACGTGCCTCATTGACGTAGTACGTAAATGTGATGGGTTCTATATGCCGCGGTTTATGAAGTTGGAAAGAAGAAGCTGCTTTTCGGACAAGAATCGCTTTTGTAGTTGGATGCCGCGATATCACTTCACGAGGTCCGGCTTTGGACCCTTGACAGGAAGGTATTATGCTGATCACGATGCAACATGACAGATCGGCTCATGAAGCTTGGACTCGCTGTTCTCTGTGATAAGGTTAGGGTTTTAAATAGAGGCTTCAGCCCCCAGGGCACAAAGGTAAAGGACAGGCTGTTCTCCTCTTCATGTCCCTCTCCCCATAAATAGACGGCGAACACAAAAAAAAATCATCATAGCTTCAGTCTTGATCACCTACAAGCCAAGAGAACATGTCAATCCGCACCATGTCCAGCCGGCTCCTTGCCGCCGCCCTCGCTCTTGGTGGTCTCTCAGTGGCACAGACTACTGGAAGCTTCAACTTCCTTACCTACAACGTTGCTGGACTTCCTGCTATTATCAACAACAACGATGTTCCTGGTGACAAGGGAACCAACGCCAACCTCATTGGTACCGTTCTTGCCACTCAGGAGTATGATATTGTTCATATGCAGGAGGACTTCAACTACCATGCCTACATCTATGCGACTGACAACCATCCTTACCGTACTCCTACCTCTGGAGGCGTTCCGTTTGGCGATGGCCTCAATACTGTCGCCAACTATGACTGGACCGGTCTTGTCCGCAAGAAGTGGAACAAGTGCTACCTGAACTCTGGCGATTGTTTGACTCCCAAGGGTTTCAGCTTCATGCGCATGAAGATTCAGGGTATTGAGGTTGATCTTTACAACCTTCATGCTGATGCTGGGTACGTAAGGCGATTGATGTATATTGGACGGAAACTGACCATCTCCCACTTAGCTCGGACCAAGGTGATGTCGATGCTCGTTCAGCAGGTATCGATCAAATCCTGGCCTACATCAACGCCAACTCACAGGGAAGGGCCGTCATCGTGGCTGGTGATACCAATGACAGATGGACAAATGCAGGTCGAAGCATCAACAAACTGATCGATGCCGGCTTCAGCGACTCTTGGGTCCAGCTCATTCAGGGGGGAAAGTTTCCCACCGCTGGGGCCACTGCAAACCCGTGCAAGGTGCCTGCCGCTGATAACACATGTGAGATTGTTGACAAGGTTTTGTAAGTCACCATCCTCAGTTTCGGTTCAATGCCGTGCTTGTAATATACTAATGAGATTATAGCTATCGCTCAGGTAGCTCTGTAAAGCTTACTGCAAAGAGTTTTAACTATATTCCTGAGGTCTTTGTTCAGCCTGATGGGAACATTCTGTCAGACCATAATCCTGTGCTGGTTGAGTTTTCTTGGTCTGCTTAGTTTTATAGTAAATAAGACCTGGTTTTAAGACTTTAATATTAACAGCTTACTGCTAGGTAAGGTAAATGCCTCTGCCTAGCTTAACTTAGTA